CCATGGGGTCGCGAAGAGTCGGACTCGACTGTGCGACTGAACAACAAAAAACAGGACCGGCCTACCTCACAGGACTGCTTTTGCTGGAAAAAACCCACTGATTAAACGTGTTTTAATGCACTGTGTGAAGAAACGCCCTGCAGCCCAGGATTTCCGTCAAAGTTTGCTATAAATGAGCCTGTACTGTACCCACCCCCAGAGGTTACTTAGGTACCTTTTACCAGCCAACAGGGCTCAGAGATTTTTAAAGTGCCGGTTCCTTTCCATTCATTGAATGGGACGCCGGACAGCAGAAAACTGTATACTGCTTATGAACATAAGAAGTAGGGTTGCCTTCTAGCCACCGGGGGGTTGTTGGGGGTAGGACTGCCAGATCCAGGCCGGCGAACTCGTGGAGATTTGAGGATGGAACCTGGGAAGGGCACGGACCTCATCGCTTTCCTCCCAAGGAGCAGGCGTCTTTTAATTTCATGGCTGCTGTCGCAGTCTGCGGTGATCTGGGATTACCCCTTATTGCAAAGGCAATGGTAAAAGGGCGCCGAGGCGAAGCCAGAGCGGCTGGCCTCAGGCTCCCTGCCAAAGAGGGTGAGCAGATTTTTCAGCCTGAGAAGAACCCCCCTAAGAATCGCCTGTTCTTAAGGCTCCAGAGTTGGAGCCCCGCTGGTGCTGAGAAAGGGGAAGAACCAGGCATCCAGCTCCAAGGCCTCGAAAGCAGAAGGAGACCCGGATGTGGTCTTAAGAACATAAGAAGAGCCGTGCTGGACCAGGTCGAAGGCCCGCCTAGTCCGGCATTCTGTTCACGCGGTGGCCAACCAGCTGCCTCTAGGAAGCCCATGAGCAGGGCTTCTGCAAGGGCCTCCTCCCACCCACTCAGGTGAAGTGGGACCCTGCCTCTGGGCCTGGAGGGAGTAGATACCCCACTAGCCGTGATGACTCGATAGCCCCATTCTCCAGGAGTTTGTCCGCTTCCCTTTTTAAAGTCGGCAGCCATCACCACATCCTGTGGCGGCCAATTCCGTGATTTAGCCATGTGCTGTGCAAAGAAGTAATTCTTTTTGCGTGTCCTCCAGCTTCGGTGGACGGCCACAGATTCCAGTATTATGAGAAAGGGAGAAAAGCTTGTCTTCTCTAAAGATTCCCCTTGCTCAAAAGCCAGTCGAATCCGACTCTAGGGTTGTGGTGCTCATCTCCGTTTCAAAGCCGAAGAGCCAGCGCTGTCCGAAGACGTTTCCGCGGTCATGTGGCCGGCATGACTAAACACCAGGGCGCACGGAACGCTGTTACCTTCCCACCGAAGTGGTACCTATTTATCTACTTGCAATGTCTTGCTTTCGAACTGCTAGGCTGGCAGGAGCTGGAACTAGAGATGGGAGCTCACTCCATCATGAGGCACCCGGGTCTCGAACTGCTGAACTACTGACCTTCCACAGCCTGCAGTTCAGCATCTTAACCACTTGAGCCACCGCAGCTCCTCTTCTCTGCTGCTTAACAAAAACCTGTGAGCATCAGCCCACCAGCGGACACTGCAGTGTGGCAAGGGAGACCCCCAGTAAACTTTTGATAAGGCTGGTGGCCTCATGGGAAGAGTCGTGCAGATTCTCCCCTCACCCACATCCACCGTGATTTGTCCACCTCTGACCTACTGAGTTCATGTCTGAGACCAGATATGAACTGGGGCTCCCTGCCTCATGCTGTTTAGCAGTCCTCTGGAAGACAGAGCCTTTGTGTCCCAGGGAGGGGTTGAGCCATTCTTCTGAGGACAAGTGGGTCTCGGGGTGGGGGTGGGATTACAAGCCCTTCTTTAAAAGGAAGTCCGCAGCAGGAGCTGGAGTGCTGTGCGTCTGAGCTAACTGTTCATAAGAACATAAGAGATGCCAGTGTTGGATCAGGCCAAAGGCCTATCCAACACTCTATATCACACAGTGGCCAGAAATACCAGTGCCATCAGGAGGTCCATCAGTGGGGCCAGGACATTAGAAACCCTCCCACTGTTGACCCCCCCCCCCCAGCACCAAGATGACAGAGCATCACTTGCCCCGGAGTCCCTATCTATACCTTGTGGCTAATAGCCACTGATGGACCTCTGCTCCATATGCTTATCTTGTTCAAGCAAGCATGGCCTAAAAACAAAAGGTGCTGTTGCAGTCCTGTTTTTTTTAAACTTTCTGGTGGAGCCAGCGAGGCCCAACAGGCTGACGGACTGCAAGAACTCGTGGCATGGCGTTAAGAGTTTCTGTTACGATGCTTGGCATTTCTGTAGCATTGTCGATATACTTGGTGCTTTAGAAGGAGAGCAGAAGAGATTGGATTTATACCCCCGCCCTTCACTACCCAAAGGAGTCTCAGAGCGGCTTACAAACTCCTTTCCCTTCCCCTCCCCACCACAGACACCCTGGGAGGTAGGCGGGGCTGAGAGAGCTCTTGCCCTAAACGGCTCTTTTTTTCAAGAACAGCTGTGCCAAAACTATGGCTTGCCCAAGGTCATCCAGCCAGGTGCAAGTGGAGGAGTGGGGAATCAAACCCGGTTCTCCCAGATTAGAGTCCGCGCACTTAACCATTACACCAAACTGGCTTTACGGAGGATAAGGAGATGGGTCCCCCTGTGGTTATGATGCAGCATGTATTAAAGGGTCAGCCATCATCAGGGAATGAGCCAACTTCAGGTTTCCGGAGGGAGCTGATCTGTAATGTTCAAGAAGGTAGAATGTTGCATGCTCACAGTGCAGTCCTATGCATAGATACGGCTTTCTGAGCTTGTTAACTCAGAAAGGTGGAGCTGTATTTAGGACTGCGCTGTTAGTGAACCCGAAATTATGAACTAGTGCACCAGGGAGAGAGACTGCTTCTGGTGTTCGGGCCAAGGGCGCAGTCAGCCATATATCCACAATCACACACATGAAGCTGCCCTATACTGAATCAGACCATCAGTCCATCAAGGTCAGAATTGTCCGCTCTGACTGGCAGCAGCTCTCCAGGGTCTCAGGCTGCGGTCTTTCACATCACCTCCTGCCTGATCATTTTTTTAACTGGAGGTGCCAGGGATTGAACTGGGGACCTTCTGACTGCCAAGCAGAGGCTCTTCCACTGGGCCACAGCCCCTACTTGCATCCAGCAGGAGAACTTCCCACTGAATGTAACTCGGGGCCAAACTGGACGTGACAGCGTCCTCTTGTCCACCATTTTAAAATCATGTAAAGCTGTGATGTGCGCCCCCACCCACTGGCCGTATGTGCCTGTACAAGTTCTGGAGAGTGTGGCTGTTTGGGCATTTGATAAGGCTTGGGGCGGGGGGAAGGTCCGTAAAGCCAGTTTGGTGTAGTGGTTAGGAGTGCATGGACGCTAATCTGGAAGAACCGGGTTTGATTCCCCACTCCTCCGCTTGCACCTGCTGGATGACCTTGGGCAAGCCATAGTTCTGGTAAGAGCTGTTCTTGAAAAAGAGCAGTCTCTGTGAAGAGCTCTCTCAGCCCCACCTACCTCACAGGGTGTCTGTTGTGGGGAGGGGAAGGGGAAGGAGTTTGTAAGGCGCTCTGAGGCTCCTTCGGGCAGTGAAGGGCGAGGGTATAAATCCAATCTCCTCCTCCTCCTCCTCCTCCTCCTCCTCTTCTTCTTCTTCTGATGTCCTTGTGGCCACCACCAGGATGCTGTCAGCATTAAATGCTGATAGCGTCCTGACGGTGGCCACAAGGACACCAGCACATCCAATTTGGTGCTTAGGTCGGGAATATCTGACCAGTCAAATATTGGCCAAGCATTGTCAGATGGTCGTTTTTTAAAAAAAAAAACTGTTTCTTTTCCTTAGGATGGCACAGAAAGCGGCTTTCGTCACAGACTGGTTTGATGAACTGGTGCTAACTGCGCAAACAGCCACTGTGCAACAGCATCGTGAACTTTTAAAAAGTGATGAAATAAATACATGGGAGATCTGAAGCAGCGGCCTTTGTTGTAGAGTTTTGCTTGTGTTTTTTTGGAGACGCCTGGTGGGAGGAGCCAGGAAGAGAAGGCTTTGCCGGGCTCCTGGGTCTGCCCCTGACTGCTGGGCATTTCTCTCTCCTGCCCCATTGCGTGGGGGTGGCCGAGGAAAGTGCCATCCAGTTGCAGACCTATGGCAACCGCATTGGGTTTTTAAGGCAAGGGGAATTCGGAGGTGGGTTTCGCGATGGCCTGCCTCTGCGTAGCAACCCTGGGCTCCCTTGGTGACCTCCCATCCACGCATTAACCAGGGCTGACCCCGCTTAGTTTCCAAGATCCGATGAGATCTGGCTACTCTGGGCCATCCAGGTCAGGGACCTGCTCCCTTGCCTGAATGAATTAGAGAAGGGATGCTGTCCCTGACATTTCACGGAATAGTGGGCCACAGCCAAAGCCTAGGTGATCCACTGACCGGTGTCGCCCAGGCTTTCACTGCTGTCCATTGATGGGGGCTGGGAGCTGGAGTGGATGGAGCTGCTCTGTTGACCTGGTAAATCCAGAGACTTCATTCTCCCAGCTAATCCCAGCAGCGGGTGTCGCACACCCCTGTTCCTTTCTGTTCCTGAAGAGGGCGCTGAATCCCCAGAAACTGCAGTGCACAGTAATTCATTAGGCTTGTCGTCTGAGTCCAGCAAAGTTTTATTCAAGGCACAGACTGGTAAATTCCATCTCTTTGTACCTGAGGAAGTGTGCGTGCTCATGAAAGCTCATACGTTGAATAAATCTTTGTTGGTCTCAAAGGTGCCCCCACTGGACCCAAATGTTGTTCTGCTGCTTCGGACCAACACGGCCACCGACCTGAATCGATCCCTAGGCTTGCGTTTCAGGCAGCAAAATTCCTGATTCAAATCCCAGAGCCCCCGACAACTTGAACTTGCCAGCAAAAGAAGGGGAGCTGGCCTGATGGACCCCGGCTGCATCTCCCCTTGCTGCCGCCTCTGTTTGTTCATTCTTGTCGTTCCCTGAAACGAAGCTGGATCCCAAACTAATGCTTCCCCCCCCCTTCTCCTTTTTTCGTTTCCGATCAGGAAACCCACCGGTTGTACAAGCAGAAGTTGGAAGAGCTGACTAAGCTCCAGGATGGGATCTCCAGCTCCATCACCCGGCAGAAGAAACAGCTGAAAGAGCTATCGCTGGCCCTGAAGCAGTAAGAACATAAGAACATAAGTGAAGCCAGTGTTGGATCAGGCCAGTGGCCCATCCAGTCCAACACTCTGTCACACAGCGGCCAAAAATACCAGGGGCCTTCAGGAGGTCCAGCAAGTGGGGCCAGGACACTAGAAGCCCTCCCACTGTTGCCCCCCCCCCAAGCACCAAGAATACAGAGCATCCCTTGCCCCAGCCTGAGAGTTCCTATCTATACCTTGTGGCTAAGAGCCACTGATGGACCTCTGCTCCATATGCTTATCTAATTCCCTCTTGAAGCTGTCCGTACTTGTAGCCGCCACCACCTCCTGTAGCAGTATGTCTACAGCAGCTGTGTGGGGCTCTGCCGAGGGAAGCTGTTGCGAGCACTGGGTGCATTTGCCACAGGGGCTCAGGGAATAATTTTTCTAGAGAGCCAGTTTGGTGTAGTGGTTAAGTGCGTGGACTCTAATCTGGGAGAACCGGGTTTGATTCCCCACTCCTCCACTTGCACCTGGCTGGATGACCTTGGGCAAGCCATAGTTCTGGCACAGCTCTTGGGGAAAAAGAGAAGTTTCTGTCAAGAGCTCTCTCAGCCCCACCTACCTCACAGGGTGTCTGTTGTGGGGAGGGGGAGGGAAAGGAGTTTGTAAGCCGCTCTGAGACACTTTTGGGTAGTGAAGGGTGGGCTCCAATCTCCTCCCCCCCCCCTGCCCAAGACCTTCCTCCTTCCCCCGCCCAAGACCCTGGAGAACTGCTTCCCAATAGTCAGCACTCAGCTAGATGGACCAAAGTCTCTAACTGGCACCCTCATTTCACCCCCTTGGTCCGAATCCAAGAGTGAAGTGGCCCAGGGTGGTGCCTCCCTCCCGAGTCTGTGGGTGCTGCCTTTTCCATCTCTCACATCTTGGGCTAGCTGTGTTACGAGGTACCAGCAGTGTTCTGTGAACGGTTCTTCCCCCCCCCCCCCCCGGGGCACCCTTCTGGCCGATGAGGAAGAGACTGTCCAGGAGATCCAGGATATGATCAAAGAGTGGCAGAATGTCTTCTTTGAAATGGAGGCTTATTTGCCCAAGAAAAACGGGTAAGAATTAACTTGGCTGCAGAACTCCTGCGGGGGGGGGGGGGAGGTGGAGTAGGACTGGAGCCCCTTTCAGAGCTGCTCCCTGAAGATGTGGCTGCACGAACAGCATGCCATGGGGCACTGGGCTCGCCAGCTGATACGGCTCAGATTCGACACGGTGGCATCCATGTTTTTCGCTCGTATAACATTGCTTCTGTAGAGTTTGATTCTGGGGACAAGCTTTTGTGCACACGCATGCTTCTTCAGATCTGAATCGTGGGCACTCCATGAAACTGCAGAGCGGTCGGGTTAGAACGGATAAAAGGAAGTACTTCTTCCCCCAAAGAGTGATTAACACATGGAATTCACTGCCACAGGAAGTGGTGGCAGCTACAAGCATGGACGGCTTCAAAAGGGAATTAGATAAGCATATGGAGCAGAGGTCCATCAGTGGCTATTAGCCACCAGGTATAGCTAGGGGCTCTGGGGCAAGTGATGCTCTGTCTTCTTGGTGCTTGGGGGGGTCAACAGTGGGAGGGCTTCTAATGTCCTGGCCCCACTGCTGGACCTCCTGATGGCACTGGTATTTCTGGCCACTGTGTGACACAGAGTGTTGGACTGGATGGGCCTTTGGCCTGATCCAACATTGGCGTCTCTTATGTTCTTATGTTCTTATGTATCTGAAAAAGCGCATGTGCGCACGAAAGCTTATACCCAGAATTGAACTTTCCTGGTCTCAAAGGTGCCCCTGGGCTCAAACATTGTTCGGTTGTTTCAGATGCACCCGAGTTTTGCTTCTGCAGTGGGCTTTGCAGGTTGCTGAAGCCTCACCTCCACCGGAAACCTCTCTGGGTTTAAGGATTTCAACCTTTAAAGCTTTGCCTTTGTAGCCTGTTAGTGACCCAGCCATATAATTCAGGCTTCCATGGATATGGGTAGCCATGTTAGTCTGTCTGTAGTCAATCCTAAAGGAAATCAACCCTGACTGTTCCCTGGAAGGCCAGATACTGAAGCTGAAGCTCAAATACTTTGGCCATCCAATGAGAAGGGAGCACTCACTGGAGAAGATTCAAGGTAAAAGAAGGGGATGGCAAGGAATGAGATGGTTAGACAGTGTTATCGATGCAACGGACATGAAATTAAGCAAACTCCGGAGGATGGCGGAAGACAGGAGGGCCTGGCATGATGTGGTCCATGGGGTCTCAAAAGACTTGACTATGCGACTGAACAACCACAAAGCAATAGAAAAGAGTAAGAGTCCAGTAGCACCTTAAAGACTAATACAAATTTGTGGCAGAGCATGACCTTTTGTGAGTCACGGCTCACTTTGCCAGTGATTCATGAGTCACTTCTCCCTTCTTCGGTATCTGAAGAAGTGAGCAGTGACTCACAAAAGCTCATACCCTGCCACAAATTTTGTTAGTCTTTGGCGTACTACTGGACTCTTGCTTTTCTCTAATAAGTCTGACTCTCTGTCCAACGTGGCCAAGTTGTCCCTCTTTACAAGAGATCAGAGAATCCTCTGCATTGCAATATCCACGTGGGAGCGTCTTTAACCCCTTCTCTTTTCTGCGTTGATCCAGGTTGTACCTGAACCTCGTGCTGGGGAATGTGAACGTCACTCTGCTCAGCAAGCACGCTAAGTAAATGCTTTACTCTTGCAGCTTTAGCTTGGGTGTCTGTGTGCTGTATAGATACATTAGAGACTTGTTCATTCTTTTTTTATATAAATTTATTTTCAGTTTCACCAAAACATATTCATTCCAATCATATATGCGTTTCATATCCAAGCGATCATCTGAATTAACATTATTTATCTTTAACTAGCCTTTATACAATTCTATTATAGCTCATACATTTTCAACCAGTCGTAAATTTTTCCCCATCTATTTTTATTTTATTTAATTCCACTTATACCTCGCCCTCCCCGCGTACGGGCTCAGGGAAAAGCTGCTCTGGTTTATTTTGCAAGACTATATTTAACTTATCCATTCCAGCTACTTCTAGGATTTTAAGTTTAAGCTCTTCCGGGTGCCGCAAGACAGGGTGAGCTCCTGTCTCTAGTTCCAGCTCCTGCCAACCTAGCAGTTCGAAAGCAAGAAATTGCAAGTAGATAAATAGGTACCACTTCGGTGGGAAGGTAACAGCGTTCCGTGCGCCTTGGTGTTTAGTCATGCCGGCCACATGACCACGGAAACGTCTTCGGACAGCGCTGGCTCTTCGGCTTTGAAACGGAGATGAGCACCGCAACCCTAGAGTCGGATTCGACTGGCTTTCGAGCAAGGGAACCTTTAGCTTTACTATCGAAGGTATGCTTTTAGATTTCCATCGTTTTGCTATTAATATTCTAGCTGCCATCAAAATATATGTTATTATCTGATTATGCTCCTTTATCGTGTCTGGTATCATGTTTAGTAAATATATTTCTGGGGTTAATGGTAAGGTGATTTGTAGAATCTTTAGTATTGTTTTATGTATTTTCTTCCCAAAAGTTTGAATTTTATCACATTTCCACCAGATGTGTAAATACGAACCTATATTTCTCCCACATCTCCAACAAGTGTTCGATGCCCTAGGGAAGCATTTAGCAATTTTTTCTGGGGTCCAATGCCACCTATAACACATTTTATATATGTTTTCCTTATATGGCATTGCCCGAGATTTGTTGACATTCTTGAGATGCTGAATACCATATCACATTCCCATGCTTCCCCCCACACACACACGCACACAACTCTCCACATGGGGATGGGGGGTGGCGGCAGAAGGTACACAGATTAGATTGAACCACAGGTACCTTGCTTAGAGGGGGGAGTGGGCAGGAACAGCATGTCGGGAAATGCCCACAGAAGCTATGTACATGATGCCTGTTGGCACACATAACTTGTTGTGGTTTTGCCAGTTGTGAGTTGCCCCCAAATCCTTGGAAATCTTCCTCCTCTGCCTTTCTCACTCCTGAGCTTCAGGCTACTGAATGATTTCAAGTGTACCTTTGCAGTCATAGGGGCTGTGGGCTTTTTCAAAAGACACAAAAGCTTAGGTGCTCCCGGAGTCCTTTCCTGTGTCCAGTATCACCTTCTGCGCCTTTTTTGGCTCTCCCAGGAGGTTAGCAGTGCAGACACAGCTCTGGCCTTCAGTAGCATTGGCTGCTGTAGGTGTTTCTTGAACAGTACCTAAACGTGAGGCTCTTTAAAGGAACCTGAACTGGCCGTCTGGACCTCTCTGGGCACCCATGATGCAAGTAGTAATAATAATAATAATAATAATAATAATAATAATAATAATAATAATAATAATAATAATATTAATAATAATAATAATAATAATAATAATAATAATAATATACTTTATTGTCATTGTACATAGCACAACGAAATTAAAGATGCAATCATTTCGGTGATCTACAACCATACTCATATACACTCACACAACCATTCACAACCATCCCATAACTCCCTTAAGGTTCACATTGCAACTTAAACCACTAATGTCACCCCCGTTCTGAGAACTTGGATCCTTCCATGAGTCTTTCTGGGGCATTCAAAGCCTGTCTGTTTCCCCACTTACCAGGTTTGCCTACAAGGACGAGTATGAGAAGTTCAAGCTGTACCTCACCATCATCCTCATCATTATCTCCTTCACTTGCCGGTTCCTCCTCAACTCCAGGTGAGTTTGCAGCCCCCGGTCCAGAGCCGTCTGCCGCCCCTCCTCTCTCTCTCTCTCTCTCTCTCTCTCTCTCTCTCTCTCTCTCTCTCTCTCTCTGTCTGTCTGTCTGTCTGTCTGTCTGTCTGTCTGTCTGTGCAGCATTGTAGCCTAGCCGATTCCAATACCATTAATTAGTGAAGAACCTTGGGGGAAAATGCAACCCCTCAACTCTAGTCTGAAATGGTGCAGTCCATCTTACTGACTTAATGCCCCCTTTCCTTTTGCCGCCTTGGAGGGTGCAATATTTGCTCTAAAGATGTAATGTGGGTGTGGAGAACTCTATCAAGACCACTTCTGGGGGTTCTTTCAAGGCCAGCTTTCCCATCGTCTAAAGTTAGACAATGTTTAACGAATGCTGACGGTCTCCTGTTGGCTAGTTCTGCTTCACAGGACAACCCTCCCTCTCCCTTTCTGCCGCCGCCACAGGGTGACCGACGCCGTCTTCAATTTCCTCCTGGTGTGGTACTACTGCACGCTCACCATCCGGGAGAGCATCCTGATCAACAACGGCTCCAAGTGAGTGGCCTCTCCCAGACCTCCTCCAAGAGCATGAAAACGATGCCTGCCCTTGCGGAATTCCTAAGAGCGTACAAAGCTGTCTCCTGCTCAGCCAGGCCTGCGGTCCGGCTAATTCAGTCATGATCCCGACTGGCTTTGCAGGGGGGAGAGAATTCATCTCCTGCATCTGCTGTTGGAGGTCCTTCAAGCAGAGATGCCGGGGAGTGGACCCAATACCTTCTGCACGCAAAGCTGAGCCAGTCTTCTAAGACTGACCCTTCCACAGTCCATTGGTCATCTTCCCGCTTGCACAGTGCCACAGCGAATGAGGGGAGGATCTGCGTCCTGTGAAACAAATTAAGCTCCCTGATTGGTCCGTTCCAGCTCAGTATTGCCCCCTCTGACTGGCAGTGGCTCTCCAAGCTCTCGGGGGGCAGTAGTAGCTGCCCGAGATCTTTTGCCCCAGAGATGCCCTGGATTGAGCTTGATGCCACCTGTAAGTGCAAAGCCATGCCTTCTTCCCTTGAGTGTGGTGCTGCTCCTTGGGGTGTGGGGGTGTAGGCAAAGCAAAGACGACAGGATACAAGCTTGCAGGAACTGTCTGAAACCTCTTGGCTTCCCAGCGTTTATTTATAAGCTCCGTTTTTCCCCCCTTTCCTCCCCCCCTCCTCTCTCCGTAAGGGAGTTACAAACATTCGAGCATCCTTTTGGAATGTGTGTGTGTGTGTGTGTGTGTGTGTTTTCAGGCAGCTGTCTGCTATCTGCCTCTCCCCCTTTCTCAAGGCTAACTGACTGCGTAGTTTAGGCAGTCACCAGACTTCTCTTAGCACACAAATACTTTCGGGTTACCAATCTCCAGGCAGGAGATTGCACTGCTTTCCCACACTTGAGTCATGCCCTTGGCTGCCCAGGTGTTTGGGGGAAGGGGAGCCCTCGTTAGGGGCGCAGCCTGTGGCTTCCTTGGCAGAGTCAGGTCAGGGAACCGGCGTTTGCCGACCTCTTTTGCAAGGAACGTTGGGTGAATTTGGTTGCCCTGGCTTGGCTGTTCTTCCCCTCGGCTGTGTTGCAGCTGCATCGCCAGGTCTCCAGGGGAGGGTTTTTCATGATGATCACAAAGTGATCGCCTTGTTTGTCTGTCATAGCATTACAAAAAAAAACCCCAGAATCCAAGTGGTACCTTAAAGACTAGGTAAAGGTAAAGGTTTCCCTTGCTCGAAGACCAGTCAAAACCAACTCTAGGGGGCGGTGCTCATCTCCGTTTCCAAGCCGAAGAGCCAGCGCTGTCCAAAGACGTTTCCCTGGTCATGTGGCCGGCATGACTAGACGCCAAGACGCACAGAACACTGTTACCTTCCTACCGAAGTGGTACCTATTTGTCTACTTGCAATTTCTGGATTTCGAACTGCTAGGTTGGCAGGAGCTGGGGCCAGAGACGGGAGCTCACTCCGTCATGCAGCACTCAGGTCTTGAACTGCTGAACTACTGACCTTCCGGTCCACAGTTCAGCGTCTTAACCACTGGAGCCACTGCAGCCCCTATCGAACCACTTGAGCCACCTTAAAGACTAGCAAATGTTTATTCCAGTATGAACTTTCATGAGTCACAGCCCACATCTCCAGACAGAGCGGTTAAGATGCTGCTGGGCTTCTGTTGTATTTTTTGAGGGAAGAACTATCCAATCTTGCTAACAAAATAATCCTTTCCTCATGTCTGTTTTGCTCCTCCAGGATCAAGGGCTGGTGGGTCTTCCATCATTACATTTCCACCTTCCTCTCTGGCGTCATGTTGACATGGTGAGTCGACTATGCCTTTCTTGAGTTATGGTGTCCAGACGGTCTAGCAAATTGTTATTGGGGGGAGGAATCTATAGAATGAGGGACCTGTGTATTGAGCCGAATTTTACATCTCCTTCAGATCCTTTAGAGAGCCATTTGGTGTAGTGGTTAGAAGAGAAGAGAGAAGAGGAGATTGGATTTATACCCCGCCCTTCACTACCCAAGGGAGTCTCAGAGTGACTTACAAACTCCTTTCCCTTCCCCTCCCCACAACAGACACCTTGTGAGGTAGGTGGGGCTGAGAAAGCTCTGACAGAAACTGCTCATTTTCAAGAACAGCTCATTATCAGAACTATGGCTTGCCCAAGGTCATCCAGCAGGTGCAAGTGGAGGAGTGGGGAATCAAACCCGGTTCTCCCAGATTAGAGTCCGCACACTTAACCACTACACCAAACTGGTTAGGGGCGTGGATTTTAATCTGGGAGAACCGGGTTTGATTCCCTGCTCCTCCGCATGCAGCTGCTGGTGTGACCTTGGGTCAGTCACAAGGTATTTCAGAGCTGTTCTCTCATGAGCAGTTCTCGAGAGAGTTCCCTAAGCCCCACCTACCTCACAGGGTGTCTGTTGTGGGGAGGGGAAAGGAAAGGAGACTGTAAACCGCTCTGAGACTTCTTTGGGTAGTGAAGGGGGGGTATAAAGCCAATCTCCTCCTCCTCCTCCTTCAGTGCTTTTTAGAGGCTGGCTTTCTAGTGCTTGTCCAGGCTTATAGCAGCTTTAAACTGGGGGGTCCGTCTTCTATTTATATCACCCCTCGACTATTCTGTTGCATTAGAAGTTTCATTTTGTTTTTATAGCAATATTGTTTCCTGTGGTAGCAGGAGAGAGCAGTGTCTGGCCAGCAGGTGGGTGGGAGGTGTGGTTTTAACACAAATGGGTATATTGCAAGGATCACTTGCAGGGGGCGGGATCACATGTCTTTGTTGTCTGCTGTTGATTCCCCAGGAGCCGACCAATCACAGCCTGAGGGGGCCACCCTCAGCCCCCAGGAACTTTTCATCTGGGCTGGAAGCCACTTGGATTTGTCAGGAGCCTCCGCCCGACCCCCCCACCAATTTTTTTTTTTTAAATGAGGGCCGTTAAAAGCAGCAGCAGAGGGGGGGAGGAAGCAGATTGATCCCACTCTTTCAAGCAGAAGTAAGCTCTATGTCAATCAGATGCGGATTTCTCTCCCTGTCCCCATCCCCCTTGCAGGCCAGATGGACTCATGTACCAGATGTTCCGGAACCAGTTCCTTTCCTTTTCCATGTATCAGAGTAAGTGAGGTTGCACTGCCCTGGGGGGTGGGGCAAAGCAGGGTGCCTGCAGACCGCGAAACTTCCTGGAGGATGTGCTGACGTGACCGCATGTGGTCAGAATACACCTGTCATCTAGACACTAGCTGATGCTCTCCGCGAATGTTCCGTTTCTCCCCACACACACACACACACACACACACTTGCTGTTTTTTAAAAAAAATACAGAACAGTAATTGAATGGACAGAACAATGTGTTTGTATGAAGAAGATTGTTATTGATCGACTGAGTAACTCGGGTTCCAAAAACCATCGCCTTGCTGTTTAGCTGGCGTAGCAGGTCTTTCTTTGGTGTAGTGGTTAAGTTTGGTGTAGTGGTTAAGTGTGCGGACTCTAATCTGGGACAACTGGGTTTGATTCCCCACTCCTCCATTTGCAGCTGCTGGATGACCTTGGGCAAGCCATAGTTCTGGCACAGCTGTTCTTGAAAAAGAGCAGTTTCTGTCAGAGCTCTCTCAGCCCCGCCTACCTCACAGGGTGTCTGTTGTGGGGTGGGGAAGGGAAAGAAGATGGTCAGCCACTCTGAGACTCCTTTGGGTAGTGAAGGGCGGGGTATAAATCCAGTCTCTTCTCTTCTTCTTCTTTCTGTTGCTTGCCTCAAGCTTTGAAGATGGTACAAAACAAATTGTACATCTAACACTTACCTGGGGAGGGAGGGTATACTGAATTTTGGAACTGGTAGAAGACGAGGGATCAGGAATGATGGGGAAAGCAAGTAGCAGCGGGTGAAACGACCTCACAGTTTCCAACAGGTGATGTGGCCATTCGAGCTTCCCCCGCCGCACAGTGAGACCGAGAAACTTGATTCAAAAGAAATACAAAAAGTAACGAACCCCCGGTAAGGGCAGAGAGTGAGAAGGGAGCCGTGGGATCCTCCGTGCCTCTGCTGCAGCAAGTCTTTGTGCATCTAGGAAAGCAGATCTTGGGATGCCGGAAGCCTGTTGTGCCCGGGAAGATCAGGCGGTCTGTGGAGGAAGTGACGGAGGGTGATGTCGGCTCTGCTGACCCATCATCTCTTTTCAGGCTTTGTGCAGTTCCTGCAGTATTACTACCAGAGCGGCTGCCTCTATCGGCTCCGAGCCCTGGGGGAACGGCACAACATGGACCTCACCGTGGGTAAGCCCCGCATGTGCATGCGCGTGCATAGGTCCTCATTCGATATTCTTATCACTGACGTACGGATATCATCGCCCCAGAGATGCACTGATGGCCCTAAGTTCAGCCAGCTGCCTTCTCCGTGATTTCACCAGCAGCTGTTAGCTACAATGGCCGAATGAAACCTCCACACGCAGGGGCAGCGTATCTCTCAACCCCACTTGCCAGGAGGGTGTCGACACAAGGCGCTTCACCGCTCAGCACGGCGGCTATCGCCCGGCGCCAGGAGTTGCAGGAGAGAATCCTCACGTACTTTGTTGCTGCCCCAGTCTTTTTTAATGGTGGCACAGCCAGGGCACTGCACGGCGCACCCGCCTCGCCGGGCTTCTGGAATGCAAGCAAGAACTATCCAGCTGTTGGGGTCAGGGCCTTTCCTTGCAGGGGTGGTGCCTGGTTTTGAGCGAGGGGGGGAGAAGGGACCAGAGGCTGCAGTATCCCGGGCCCAGCAGCGTGTGTGTGTGTGTGTGTGTGTGTGTGTGTGTGTGTGTGTGACTGCTAGCTGGCTGGACCTAACTCGTCTGTCCCCCTCCCTTTCACACCCCAGAGGGCTTCCAGTCCTGGATGTGGAGGGGCCTCACCTTCCTGCTCCCGTTCCTCTTCTTCGGCCAAGTAAGTGCAGAGTGCCGTGCCTTCTCCCTCCATGGGTGGGAGCGGGCGGGAGTAACGATGAGGCAGAAGGTGAACGGGATCTACCAATGTGATTATTGCTGCAATGCACTGAGGGTGTGTGTCCTCCCCTCCCTCTCCCCTCCGCAGTTCTGGCAGCTCTACAACGCCGTCACCCTCTTCCGACTGGCCAGGCATCCCCAGTGCAAAGAGTGGCAGGTAAGTGAGAGGAGGCGAGAAGAGAAGAGCCCCGCGTCTCAGAGTCGGCTGCAGTTGGAGGAGCCCCTGTCCGCGGCAGAGCTCGGGGAGAGAAGGCAGGGGACCCCCTCTGGTGGGTTCAGTTGTTGAGACGGGTATAGTGTGGCAATTCTGGGCAAGAAGCATCTCCGACTCAGTCTACCAGCCCGCAGTGCTGCTCTTGGTATGGGAGGGTCTGTGACTCAAGTCTCCAGTTCTGAGTTGGCCAGGCTGGGAAGGGCACGGGAGAGCTGCTGCCGGTCCGAGCGGGCTGGAGGGACCAGCAGTCCAACTGTGTCCGAGGCAGTGCCGCGACTCAAGAACCCCTTGCCTGCAACAGGGAGGCCGTCTGAAATACCACTCCTAGGACCAAGTGCTCAGCTGCCCATCAGAGACCGCTGTGAGATCATTCAGCAGTCCTGAGTGTGAGGAAGTTGGGGGGGGGGTGTTATGGAGGGCTGGACCACTTGGGGGGGGCAGGACAGAGGTGAGATGGGCCTCGGGTGCAGGATCCCCAGAGGGGCCTGAAAAGACCCGTCAACAGATGTTAGGCAGGAAGCCGCTTCAGTAGCAGGGTCACTTGGAAAGCTTTGGTGATGGCTGCTTGCCCCTGGGCTCCTCTCCTGGAACGATCGTTATCAGGGTGGACTTTCTAAGCTTGGGAAATGAAAATGATGTAACACGAGTGTTTTCCATGGATGAACAGACCACAAGCCTAGGGATCACTTCTCCTTTATTTGTGATTTCAGCAACAGCAAGACAACGCTCCCGAGCCTCAGCTCTGTTAAACAGCATGCAGTTGCCACACCCAAGCACACCCCACTCCCAGTGATAGGCTGCTTACGTAACATTAGTACTAGATGGGTTACTTTCAGAATCCTGGCAGGCTATTGTTCTTCTGCTCCAAGCTCAGCCAGCCTCTGGGGTGATTCAGTCAGTGATGATTCAACCCTAATACATAAGCAACAAATAATACAGCACACAGTCTAATATAGCCAGGAACAACAAAACAACTGTGAGCTGAAATACCCGCAAGTATAAATGTACAAAAATAGACTAGATTGGTTACTTTCAGAATCCTGGCAGGCTATTGTTCTTCTGCTCCAAGCTCAGCCAGCCTCTGGGGTGATTCAATCAGTGATGATTCGATCCCAACACATAACAACAAGTATATACGCCTTCTTCTGAGTGCACAAAGTAACACAAGGCATCTCGTTTTGAGGTGGAAAGTCGAGGGGATTGGGTACACGGGCTTATCCCGGGCATCTTACTCTACTGTAGTTTCAGAGGGGACCCGGGCCGGTCTGCAGCGGAAGAGCCAGATTCGAGTCCAGTCGCACCTTAGAGACCAACACTGTTTCCAGGGTATCAGGCACTGACCTGGACGGCCCAGGCAAGCCAGATCTCGTCAGGTCTCGGAAGCCAAGCAGGGGTCGACTCTGGCAAGTGCTGGGATGGGGGACCTCCAAGGAATACTAGCAGTTGGGCGGCGGGGGCAGGCTTAGAGAGCCAGTCTGGTGTAGTGGTTAAGTGCGCGGACTCTAATCTGGGAGAGCCGGGTTTGATTCCCCACTCCTCCACTTGCACCTGGCTGGATGACCTTGGGCAAGCTGTAGTTCTGATAAGAGCTGTTCTTGAAAAAGAGCAGTTTCTGTCAGAGCTCTCTCCGCCCCATCTACCTCACAGGGTGTCTGTGGTGGGGAGGGGAAGGGAGAGGAGTTTGTAAGCCGCTCTGAGACTCCTCTGGGTAGTGAAGGGTGGGGGATAAATCCAATCTCCTCCTCTTCTTCTTCTTTATCCAGCCACCTCTCTGAATATCTCCCAGGCCCCCAGTAGGGGTCAGTCACCCGAGGTCGCCATGACTTCCAGGCATGGGCGCGTGCACACACACACAGAGAGAAATGCAAATAATAATAATTTTTTTTCAGGGTATCAGCTTCTGAGAGTCAAAGCAACCTTCTCTAAGGTGCTCCTGGATTCGAATCTAGCTCCTTTACTCTGTGCATGATGGGGGAAGGAAGGGGTATTTATTTATTGGCTTCATTCCCACCCGGTTTTCCTCCCATTGGGGACCCGGGGTCGCTTGCGTGGTTCTGCTCTGCTCCGTTTCACCCTTTGCCAAAGGCAGCCAAGAGGCTGACAGGTGGGCGCGTATCAATCACATCCCCCTGCAGGTCGTTGGGAACTGTTTGTCAAGTGGAGGTGAAACATACAGACAGGGAAAAGCCCGTAAACTGACTTTCCCTATGCTGGATACCGTTGCACTGAAGTGTCCTAGAAAATGGATTATTGGATAGACTCAGGTTTGGGAAGAAGACCGGAGGCGTGGAGTTGGGGGTCTGTGTCTGCCAACTCCAAAGTCCAGATTTGACAGGGGCCATATCCCCCCGCCCGCCCAGTAGCCCCCTGACCTCCCTCTTCCGAGAGTCTCCCTGACTCGGCCCCTTGCGTCCCCAACAGGTGCTGATGTGTGGCCTCCCTTTCTTCGTCCTCTTCGCCGGCAACTTCTTCACTACCCTGCGAGTCGTCCACCAGAAGTTCCAAGAGAAGACCAAGGATTCCAAGAAGCAGTGAGCCCCCCTGGGGGGGGGCTCCCGAGCACCTGTCCTCACCGGCCCTGGACATTTCCGTCTTCCACCTGCCTTCCGTCATTCTCGGCCCCGATCTGGGGAGCCAGCGCTCCCAAACTGTTTGTTTTTTGGGGGGGGGCTGAGCGTCTTTCCCCACACTCCCCCACCCCCTTCCTCCCAGGAACTGGTGCAAACGAAGCTGAATGTGAACAGCACTGTCCAATCTGGCATGAGACTCCTCCTCGGATGGTGGGGATTCCAGGACAATGACCCACGGGCCAGAGACCAGCGGTGACCTTAGTCTGTGACGCTTGAATGTCATTCTCAATCTGCTTCCCTCCTTCCCCCGACACTGCCCACCTGCGGACCACCAATGCCCGAAGCACCCGCCTCCCAGGTGGGGGCATGTTCAGCCTCAACCATCTTTAGAGTGCGTCGGAACCTGGTTTCCGGGGCGAAGGAGTGCCTTGGGAACCGTGTCTCCTCTGTACGGTGCAACCTCTCCTGTCTTGGCGTTTGCGCTGAAGCCCCGCAGCTACTCTCAGGCTCGTGAGAGGTCTTTTCCTTTACGGATTTGTGTTCTGCTCCCATCTGGCGGTTTACCAGGGAGTAGGGGCGGCAAAGGGCTTGCTGGCTGCCCGAGTCTTGTTTGAGTCAAGCCTGGCTTCCTGTCCTTCCGTACCCCATCACCACCACCACCGCCACCAAAAAGCATTCCTCGATGTCCACCCAAGTCTCTAGCTTGACCACCTGCCAGTGAGAACTGAAGGGCAATTTTCTTTCCTTCTCATGTTTACTGTATCTCTTCTGAAGTTGGAAGGGACTGTGGCCGGCCAAACAGGCTTAGAACGTGTGTGTTGTAAAGCTGGTGCTGAGAAACAGCTTTGTGGGGGGGGGGGGGGGGCGGTGTGCATCAGGCGCTCCCCCCCCTTTCTCAGCCGTCATTTTGAAATGGTGTCGGGAGCGACGTAGGTCTTAGGGAAGCCGAGGTGGCCGGCCCTCAATCTGTGTCATTTCCTCTCTTCTGAAAATGTATTCTTGTCATAAAAAAAAATTTGTTGAAAAAATAAAGGAAGGGAAACGAAGCGCCTTCACACAAAGTAGGGCTAGGGTCGGCGTGAAGTTTCCTTGCCTCTGAGTCTTTGGTGTGTTCAAAAGCAGCACTTCCGGTAGGTAAAGGCAATGGGCCAGGTAGGTGGACTCCGCCTGGGGTCATGTTGTAGAAAAAGAGGTGCAGGAGCTCATTAGCATAGCTCATTAGCATAGCTCATTAGCATAACTTATTTGCATATGCCACACCCCCTGACATTACCGGAAGTGTGTCAGAAGGCAACACCCACCACTCGGGCTCCACTGGACTGTTTTGGATTGCTAGCTATTGGGGGGGGGGGGAACGTGCAGATCTGTCCTCGCAGAGGAGGGAGAGCTGGTACCTGAATAAAACTTGGTCTTAAAGGTGCCACTGGACTGTTTTGGACCAGGGGAGCTCTGCAACGTACCTGGCTGCTTCTTGCTCTGACTGAGGGCTGCTGGGAGCAGGGGGGTGGGGCTTGTTGCATGTGCCCGCCCCCTGGGCTCTTTACTGCCAGAGCTCCACTCCTGTGCGCTCCTGCAGGAAATGACCCCTGGACTCCGCACTCAGTGGCCTTAGGGGTACACCCTCCCTTTGCTCACTAACAGCATGCATTCTGGGAAATGACGTCGCCCTGGAGGCAAACCGGGTGGAGCTCCCCCGTTTCTAGCTGTGCAGCCTTTCGTTTCGGGGCCCTGGGTTTTTGCTTCTAAATCCGGCCCCGAGGCCACCAGTGGCCCAAGCTGGTGCTTGAGTCCTAAGCCATATGCCTCGGGCTCTTGCAAAGTCCTTGTGGCTGTTGGGGGAAAGGACACAAGGAGTCTGCATCACGCATCCGCTGGGGGTCCTGTGCTTCTTTTAGGTTTGTGACCACACAGAGAGAAGTGGCTGCAGCTGCCTCTCCCCCCACCGACACCCATGTTTTTGTGGAAGCAAACTGCCCCGTGGAACTTATGTTCCGTCCCATAAAGAACATAATCATAAGCATCCTGTGGCATCGTGTGAAGAATAGCCAGGAGATCCTAAGATTGTCTGGCAGCCGGAAGTTCTAGCTCTTTTTAGTGTTCTGCAGCACCAGGTGACGAGCTAGGCTTGTTTTTAAAGCAAGAGACGTTTCAGAGGTAGTTTTGCCACTGCCTGCCTCTTCTTCACATCCTTGGTATTCCTTGGAGGTCGCCTTTCCAAACGCTAGCCAAGGCTGACCCTGCTCAGCTTCCGAGATCTGACGGGATCGGGCTGGCCGGGCCATTCGTGGGTTTTTTACGACGGAGCCAATAGCGGCTTCGCAGGGTGGCTCCCACACAGGAGAACGGGAAGGGAAGGCCAAAAGGGTCCTCCCCTTGACTGCTTCGGTTCTGAACCGAAGAGAGGTGGGGTGCATCTGGGAGGCACAGCACTGCCGCTGCACCTGTGATGCACAGCTTGTGTTCTTCCCTGTGAGCCAGAGTATGTAGATGGCGCCAGGGCTCTTTTTGCAGAAAAAGCCCAGCAGGAACTCATTAGCATAATAGGCCACACCCAACAACAGCTCATTAGCATATTAGGCCACACCCCTGACAGCACAGCTCATTAGCACATTAGGCCGCACCCACATGTTACCAGAAGTGTGGTCATCCAGCCACACCCACCTTTAGCTTGTTATTCTATTTACCTTGTTTGTTGTCAAAACCCAGGGCTTTTTTTGGAGCAGGAACTCCTTTGCATGTTAGGCCACACACCCCTAATGTAGCCAATCCGAATGAGTTTCTGCTGTTGGGTGTGGCCTATTATGCTAATGAGTTCCTGCTGGGCGTGGCCAACTCGGGAGCCAGCCAGAACTCCGTTCCTGTGCGTTCCTGCCCAAAAATAGCCCTGGATGGCGCCTAAAAGGCAGCCCTTCCAGCAAAACAGAAGCAAGCCCTCCATATCTAAGACCGTGTAGCACAACCTCAGCCTACCCTCCTAGGCTGAAAGATACGGGAGGTGGGGTGCAAGGTACAAAGTCAACGGTGCATCCTTGGAATAGGACACAGGGCAGAGGCAAATCAGGAAAAGGTCTTTCAGCCTCCTTGGTGGAGGGGGGGGGGTGTAATGCGGAAAAAGTGATTGATCTGTGTGTCTTGGGTAGCCTCTGCATGAACCAGACTGTTTGCATTCCTCTGCAGGTTGGCACAGGCCCTAAGCCGACACTGGGCTTTCCTTTGAAATAGGAGGGCTTCCTGGCTCAAGTGGTCTGGGGCGCAAGCATTTCTGCAGTAACTTAAAGGCAGGGGCGGATCGTTTTGTTCAGAGGCAGGACATAGCAAGCCAGAGGCAGGTAGTACTCTACAGCTAGCGGATCTCAGGCAGTGGGTGCTGCTGGGGAAGGGAGACATTCCATTATGCTGGGAGGGGCAACAGCAAAAGCCTTGAGAGGGCCAGAATGGTTCTCAAGGCGCCACGGCAGCAAGTTCCCTAAGAGAGGAAGTAATGTTGGGTGTGGAAGTGGCTATACTTTGCCACTAGGTGGCACACAAGTTCCATGGTAGTGCCCCCTCTATGGGTCACAAGCAGGCTGGAGGGCGTCAGATAAAGGGGGCCTTGCCTTTTAGTTGGTCCCTCCTACATTGAAGGTGGCCTGGCTGTAAAAACTAAGGTCACAGGACAAACAAGTTTCTGGTGATTCCACGAACAGGTGTTAGTTCGGACTATAAGCAACAGTTGTAAAGCTTTGTATGAGCACAAGCAGGGGAAAAGTGGGCACCCAGCTAACTAACAGTCTCAGTTCTTCATTTAAGTACCAGAAAAGTAAGGTTCTAGTCCCTAAACTTAGAGAGTCAGCTTCAGTGTCCTTGTGCAGAGATGCCAACCTCCAGGCAATGGCTGGAGATCTTCCGCTATCACAACCAGTGTTCCCTGTAAGCTGAGTTAGTGGGAGCTAGCTCACTGTTTTTTAGCCCCCGGCTCACACATTTTTGTCTTTGCTCAGGAAGGATAGCTCCGGAGCAAACTAATCTATGTAGCGGCCAAATCACCTGCTCACAACTTTAATGCCAGTAGCTCACAAAGTAGAATTTTTGCTCACAGGACTCCACAGCTTAGAGGGAACATTGAATTCACAACTGATCTCCAGGCAATAGATATCTGTGCACTTGGAGAAAATGGCTGCTTTGGAAGGTGGACTCTATCACACCCCATTTAAGCCCCTCCCCAAACCCTAACCCTCCAACCCGGAGCTGGCAACCCAGTTTCCACGGCGGGAAAAAGGAGAAAACCTCTGTTAACAATTGGAAAAAGGAAGATGTGCAAAACACGCCAGAGATCATCACGTATAGTTTATGTCCAATCAGTTAAAGATATATATTATACCTTAAAAAGAAAACCATGGAAATAGGTTGGCAAGTTGGACATAAATACAATATTAATGGAAATGCAAAAGTGTCAAAACATACGAAAGTTGCAAGTGTTGAACAACGGAACTAGCAATACAGACAAATGATATACGGTAGCAATCGGTATAGGATAAAAATGTCACCTCATTACATCACACAAGGAATGTCGTTACAAAAGTCAATCAAAAGAAAGCCAGTCATTTCAAGCAGTAGCACTGCAAAAATAATCAGTTGGCTGTGTTACATACAAGCAGGAATCAGCCAAGATTAGTCTAATAAGAGTCAACACTGCTTCCTTTTGATTGACTTTTCTAACGACGTTGCTTGTGTGTTGTACTGAAGTGACATTTTATCTCTTGTAGACTGATTGCTACTGTATATCATTTGTCCGTATTGCTACTTCTATTGTTCGACACTTGCAAATTTCGTATGTTGTTTTGACACTTCTGCACTTCCGTTAATATTGTAGTATTTATTTTCAACTTGCTAAACTTTTTCATGGTTATCTGTTTAAGATACAATATATATCTTTAACTCTATTTCCATGCCTGGCAAAGTCAAGAGTTTGTGCAGATGACAGTGGTAACCTTCTGGAGAGCCAGTTTGGTGTAGTGATCAGGAGCGCGGTCTCTGGGAGAACCGGGTTTGATTCCCCACTCCTCCACATGCAGCTGCTGGTGTGACCTTGGGTCGGTCATAAGTTCTGTCAGAGCTGTTCTCTCAAGGGCAGTTCTCCGGGAGAGCTCTCTCAGCCCCACCTACCTCACAGGGTGTCTGTGGTGGGGGAGGGAAAGATTGTAAGCGGCTCTGAGACTCCTTTGGGTAGTGAAGGGCGGGGTACAGATCCAATCTCCGCTCTTCTTCCCTCGCTGCAGCATTTTGTTTAAAAAACTAGGCCCGACAGATAGGGGGCACAGGGCAGGCGTGAGCCCACAGACGCCACTCCCCCCCCCCTTCCGAGCTCTCCCGCCCTTTGCACAGGTGTCCCCTTTTCCCAAAGCAACACGCAGCCAGCAAAAAGTGAGTAAAAGATACGGGTGGTTTTTTTTTTATTCCAGGAGCAAAAAGTCAATTTAAAATTATGTACATTCAGTGGACCATCTGCTCTGCCGCCTCCCAAATGTACCAGGTACCGCTGGTGGGGGGGGGGGGCGCACACCTGCCAGCAGCTTCGATGCTAACCGTTGAGTGGGGGAACCAGATGTTGAGAGCAGCTATGTGATTGGGCAAGGGGCCAGTTCCCTCTGTGGAATTCCGTGCCATAGAACAGCACCGGGGGGGGGGAGGGACCGGAATGGCTCTCCGAGGAAAGGCAGCGGCGGAGAGAGGACCTCCCCCTCGTCTAGGCCGAAGTGCCACGCTGATTCAGCGTCACCCTCTGTGGGCCACGGAGGCGAGTGAGGATTTCATCCACTTCAGCAACAGAGCAGGGAAACACGGACTAGGCCGGGAGAGGCAATTCTGCTCCTCCCCCGGTGGCCTGTTCTTCCGTGCAGCAAGACCAGACTGAAAAGGGAACAGCTAGCCCAGCCAGAGGGAGTCTAACCCCGGGCACCAAACAAGAGAAGGACCTGGCCTCCGGGCCCTGCTGGCCGGCCATCCAGGCGGGTGTGAAACCGAACACGGGACCACTGGGCCGACCCAGCGGGGCTCTTCTGATGTGACTGGGGGCCCCAGAGCCCCACGGGGTACTGGAACGGGGTAGGCAGCCCCAGCCCAGGGGCCAAGCAGGGCTGGCTCTCCCCCCAGGGAAACAAGATCGGCCCCCGAGGGGAGCGCCCAAAAGGTGGTCCTCACACCCCGAGGCCTAGCGCCCCCCCCCAAGAGAACCGTCGGGCTGGTCCCACTCGTGTAAACAGCTGTAGGGCGAGGAGAGAGAAAACTCCCCCCCACACACACAGGCTGCCATCTTGATCACACCATCCTCCACCCTTTGTTTCTTTTGCAAGCTTCAGCCCCCCCTGGATTATCCCATTTTCTCGAGCGAGCCAAAACAGCCTCTCTCCCGGCACTCTCTGCAGGGACTGGGAGGAACATGGCACAGAAGACAAGAGGGCCGGTGTGTGTGTGTGTGTGGGGGGGAATGAGAACCACTCTGGCACTTGATTGTGCCTCTAACCTCACCTTCTGGGTGGCGAAAACAATCCTTCGAACAGGAAATTCGGCAGCTGGGGACGAGGGACGCCCCCCCCGAGAGCCTCCCATGGCAGCAGTCGTCGGACGAGAGACAGAAGACGTTGTTGGTGCTCGCTGGTTCTCTTGGGGAACCGGTGCTGCCTTGCCTAGCTTCAGGGTCAGCCCTGTGGACTCCCCACGCCCTGTCCTGTCACTGGGGGTGGGGGGGCTGAATGCAAAGGAGTGAAAGGAAGGCAGAGTCTCACGGTGGCAGCCGGGCGTCCCGTTCCCCCCCTCCCCCCGCTCTCCACCCAGCAGCCCTTCCTCCACCAGGACGGCCCCGCCCACGCCGCCGGCCCCCTAACTCCAGATGTCCAAGGAGTAGCGGCCTTTGGTCATCAGTTTCTTGACGTAGTCCACGGACTGCTGCTGGCTCATCTTGCCGAACTCGGCCACGATCTCGTAGAAGGTGTTCAGGACGTCCCGGGCCATGTTGCGGGCGTCGCTGGAAGGGGGGGGAAGAGGGAAGGAGGGTGGGTGAATCGAGGGGTTCTAGTGGGCGCACGTGCACACACATACACATACACAACACTGCTGGAGCCTTCCCCAGAATTTCTTTTCTGAGACACCTTCTAACTGGATGAGCCCCACAGACCAGCCTGAGCTCATCAGATCTTGGGAGCTAAGCAGGGCGGGCGGTGGCTGAACGGGAGACTGCCGAGGAAGGCCGGGGTCACGGCCCAAAGGCAGGCAACGGCAAACCACCTCTGAACAGTGTTCCCTCTAAGCTGCGTCAGTGTGAGCTAGCTCACAGTTTTGTAGCCTCTGGCTCACAGATTTTTGTCTTAGCTCGGGAAGGAGGGCTCCAGAGCAAACTAACTGATGCAGGAGCCAAATCGTTCGCTCACAACTTTAATGCCCAGGAGCCCACAAAGTAGGATTTTTGCTCACAAGACTCCACAGGTTAGGGGGAGCTTTGCCTCTGAATGCCTCTTGCCTTGAAAACTCTGCAGGGTCGCCCTAAATCGGCTACGGCCTGGCCACATTTACAACCACTATCAGCCACTCCAGCTGGCAGCATCTCTTCACAGGCTCAGCCGGGGAAAGGCGGTTGTTTCCCAACCCGGCTACCCAACATCCCTTTAAACCAGAGGTTATATTCATCTCCCGCTTTTTTTTTTTTTTTTAAACAGCTTCCAACACTTGAAAAAAGGAAAAATGCCGTAAGCAAGCGAGCGGGCTTTCTGCAAGCCAAACTTGATCTCTGACCATTGGGATAGCCTCCCCAACCATGTAGGAGAGAATTTCGATGCCTCCCTGCCCGCCAGAAGTGCGGGGGGGGGGGGGGGGCAGGTCATAACCAGTGTTCCCTCTAAGCTGAGTGAGTGTGAGCTAGCTCACGGTTTTTTAAGCCTCCGGCTCACACCTTTTTGTCCTCGCTCAGGAAGGGATGGCTCCAGAGCAAACTTATTCATGCCGCCGCCAAATCGCTCGCTCACAACTTTAATGCAAGTAGCTCACAAAGGAGAATTCTTGCTCACAGGACTCCACAGCTTAGCGGGAACATTGCATAACCCCCCCCAAAAGAAGGGGGGGGCAGAAGTATCTCAGAGTCACTCACTCACCCGCACACATATATATGGCAGTTTCCTTCGTGGATCAGTTTCCAGATGTTCTCCTTGTTTTTCTTCAGTAGGTGCTGGACATAAATCTAGAGGCAAAGGCGCAAGGTTAGGACGGGAGCCGGTCAGACTCGAGGAAGGGTATCACAGAAAGGACAGGATTCGGCACCTGCTGCAGAACTCATTTGTTCAAGCGAGGGGGGGGGTTCTATTCCCCACGGCTACAAAGGTAACCTAGAAACAAACCTGGTGCCGTTTCTACAGCCAGGAAGGAGGATGACGTGATGAGTGACAGCAAGGGGGGGGGAAAGGAAACGGTCTCCTCCTCTCCTCCCGCCGTAGTTTACAGAACTGGAATTAAGTTGAAATTCCCCTCCCCACCCCCATCAGCCAATTTGACTGCGAACTCCGCAGGCCTGTAAAACCAGGGTTTTTTTTAATTCGGGGGGGGGCCTTAAATAATAATAATAATAATAGATTGGATATATATCCCGCCCTTCTCTACCCAGGGGAGTCTCAGAGTGGTTTACAACCTCCTTTCCCTTCCCCTCCCCACAAGAGACACCCTGTGAGGTAGGTTAGGCTGAGAGAGCTCTTGACAGAAACGGCTCTTTTTCAAGGACAGCTCTTACAGAACTCTGGCTTGCCCAAGGTCATCCAGCAGGTGCAAGTGGAGGCGTGGGGAATCGAACCCGGTTCTCCCAGATTAGAGTCTGCGTGCTTCACCATGACACCAGACTGGCTCTCACTGCCGTCCATCATTGCCAGTTCAGATCCAGGTTAGGATCTCTCTGTAAGAAGAGCTCTGTAAGCTCTTGGAGGATTGGCTACATTAGGGGGGGGTGTCGCCTAATAGGCAAAGGAGGTACTGCTACAAAAAGAGCCCTGCTATTGTGATCATTTGTTTTAACGGCTCTATCAATTCTCTTCTGGTTACCCGCCCTGAGTCCGCTTTGCGGGGAAGGCAGGATATAAATCCAACATAAGAATAGAAGAGATGCCAATGTTGGATCAGGCCAAAGGCCCATCCAGTCCAACCCTCTGTGTCACACAGTGGCCAGAAATACCAGGTGCCATCAGGAGGGCCACCAGTGGGGCCAGGACACTAGAAGCCCTCCCACTGTTGACCCCCCCCCCAAGCACCAAGAAGACAGAGCATCACTTGCCCCAGAGCCCCTAGCTATACCTTGTGGCTAATAGCCACTGATGGACCTCTGCTCCATATGCTTATCTAATTCCCTTTTGAAGCCGTCCATGCTTGTAGCACCCACCACTTCCTGTGGCAGTGAATTCCATGTGTTAATCACTCTTTGGGTGAAGAAGGACTTCCTTTTATCCGTTCTAAACAACAAATCAACAACCAAGACCTGGTCACGTTCTCCTGCTCTCCACCTCCTGTCGAACCCGTTTCTAATCCCCCGAGAGGACCCGTCCCTCTTTTCCCACGACTGCTGAATGTGCTCTGTGTGTGCTCAGCGGCGAATCACCTTCTGCGGCTGGTCCCTTGAGAAGGCCACGTTCAGCTGAGTCAGGGCTCCCTCCTTGAGGAACTTGGCCAGCTCGTCCTTGTACAGGTAGTCCTCATTGTGGTGCCGGCAGCCGTAGTAGAGCACCGTCTCACCCACCTCCTTGCCTAGAACACAACAGAGACCCACAAAAGGGACAGGATGAGCTTCATTGGCTCTCGAATTTTGCAGGGCCTCAGCGGGGAGGCCGAAACACTTAGGATTCAAACAGTTGCTTCCAAAACCGTATGCCGAGGATACCCTGCTAGGCTCCGGAGGAAATACAGCTTGCGATCCCAAAATGTGCACTCACAACCAGTATTCCCTCTGAGTTAGTGTGAGCCAGCTCGAAGCTCCCCATTTTTTAGCCTCCAGCTCACACATTTTTGCCTTCGCTCAGGAAGGGACGGCTCCAGAGCAAACTCATTTATGCAGAAGCCAAATCGCTTGCCCACAACTTTAATGCCAGGAGCTCACAAAGTAGAATTTTTGCTCACAAGACTCCACAGCTTTGAGGGAGCATTGCTGAACAGATCTCTCATATCAGCAGAAATGAAAGACCATTCGCAGCAAGTTAACACCACACCGGGGACAGGGGCAGCCTGTAATTCAGCAACAGACTTCCCCATTGGTTGCTGAGCCTGGCCAATCAGAGTTCACTGAAGAGCGGAGACTGTCTGGAATGGGACTCACCTTGCTGCTTGAGCCAGCCTCGCTCCTGGATGAACCCAATGAAGGGTGCGATGCCAGTCCCGGGCCCAATCATGATGACGGGAGTGGCGGATTTGAAAGGCAGCCGGAACTGCGACTTCCGGACATACATGGGCACCGTGGACTTGTGCCCATTCTCATTGGGATGCTTGTTCTTCAGCCAGTTGGTGGCCACTCCTTTGTTCACCCGGCCCGTCTTGGTTTCATACTCCACCACTACAGCACAGATGTGGACGGAGTTTGGTTGCACCTGGAAACAAGGGGGATGGGGGGGGGGAGAGAAAGGAAGGTGTCAGGTACTCTGAAAGATCTCATGGGATTGTGTAAGCGGGAGGAAACCCTCAAGATTTCAACCATGACAGGAGCAAGCACCTCGCCCTACTCTATGCCACGTGTGTTACGTGCTAAGTCGATTCCAACTTACAGTGATCCCAGAAATTAGAAAAGAGCAGGAGTCCAGTAGCACCTTAAAGACTAACAAAGTACATGGCAGGGGATGAATTTTCATGAGTCACTTCTCATAAGAACATGAGAACATAAGAGACGCCAGTGTTGGATCGGGCCAATGGCCCATCTAGTCCAACTCTCTGTCACAGTGGCCAAAAATACCAGGTGCCATCAGGAGGTCCACCAGTGGGGCCAGGACACTAGAAGCCCTCCCACTGTTGCCCCCCCAAGCACCAAGAACACAGAGCATCACTTGCCCCAAACTGAGAGCCAGTTTGGTGTAGTGGTTAAGTGTGCGGACTCTAATCTGGGAGAACCGGGTTTGATTCCCCACTCCTCCACTTGCACCTGCTGATGTGACCTTGGGTCAGTCGCAAGCTCTGGCACAGCTGTCCTTGGAAAAGAGCAGTTTGTGTCAGAGTTCTCTCAGCCCCACCCACCTCACAGGGTGTCTGTTGTGGGGAGGGGAAGGGAGAGGAGTTTGTAAGCCGCTCTGAGACACCTTTGGGTAGTGAAGGGCGGGGTATAAATCCAATCTCTTCTTCTCTTCTATCTGTACCTTGTGCCTAATAGCCACTGATGGACTTCTGCTCCATATGTTTATCCAATTCCCTCTCGAAGCCGTCCATGCTTGTAGCTGCCACCACCTCCTGCGGCAGTGAATTCCATGTGTTAATCGCTCTTTGGGTGAAGAAGGACTTCCTTCCATCTGTTCTAACCCGACTCACGTCTCACTTCTGCCATATATTTTGTTAGTCTTTAAGGTGCAACTGGACTCTTGCTCTTTTCTACTGCTACAGACGGACTAACACGGCTGCCCATCTTGATCCATCTCCTAGAAATTAGTGACTTCCAATACATTCTATCATTGACAGCCCTGCTCAGGCCGTGGCTTCCTTTATTGAGCCAATTCTTCTTTTCCTACTGCCTGAGCCATGCGTAACTCATATACACTGACTGTGTCCACGCTCCGACTTTTTAGCAGCAGAGCAGAATGTAATACTGGTTGTGAATATACCTTCCTGAGAACTTGAGTGTTACGTTTCTAGTCCCTACGGTAGCACAGGTAAGCCTGGATGTGTGGCAGCTTCAGTGCCCGGAAGCGTCTCTCCTTGCGACTTATGTACAAAATTACATCTAAAAATATTTTCATAGAAATGTCTGATTGACAGACTGACATCCTCCTAATGACCCAGTGCCTCTTCAAAAAAAAAATGAATCCAGCTCCCGACATCCAAGCCCTCCACACACCCCATTTGACTGAGTGCCTCCCCTAACATGGCACAGGCTTACTGCGGAGGGCGGGAAGAAGAGCTAGCCACAGAATGTCAATCATCAGTGCAGCTACTGTGAGGGAAGTGAAAGGTCAGCTCAATTGGTACGGTGGGGGAGGTTGTGTGAGGAGAATTAAGTTCCACATGTTTTTGGGACTGTCAAAAGCCCTGAGATCTCCCCCTCCTGCTCACCTTGGAGGTCGAAGCGATGGAGTAGTAGCGGGCCTGCAGGCGGGGCAGCAGTTCACAGAGGTGGTCGATGGGAGGGCGCAGCGAGGGAGTGTCTTGCAGGATGGCCAGGATGTTCCTCCGGGCCTCGACGACCCAGCTGAGGTACAGCGACTGCAGGAAACCAGAAAAATTGCCACCATCCCCCAATGAGTAAACCACAAAGCGGCACCACAGGCCCACTGCTACGTCACCTGACTTGTCCCAAGTCCCAGGCAGCTCCTCTGCTTGGGGTCTTCCCTATCCTCATCCCTATGTGGGTATCTGGCTCTCCGGGGTCTGAGTTCGAGGTCTGTCACATCACCTACCACCCGGTCCCTTCAACCAGAGAAGCCAGGGATTGAACCTGGGACCTTCTGCATGCAAAGTGGATGCTCTGGCAATGGGGCCACAGCCCTTCTTCCCTAAACTGTGGACACACAAAGCTGCCTTATACTGTATCAGACCCTTGGTTCATCAAGGTCGGTCTTGTCTACTCGGGCCGGCAGCCGCTCTCCGGTGTCTCGGGCAGAAGTCTGCGGCATCCCCGGCCGCCTGATCCTTTTATCTGAAGGTGCTGGGGACCGAACCTGGGAACTTCCGCATGCCAAGCGGCTGCTCTCCCACTGAGCTGCAGCCCCGCCCTGATACGACTACTGTGCCACCGTGGGGGAGCGGCACGGGCAAGTCGGCACCCACCTTGCCTTCAGCAGAGGAGGAGGCCATCTTGCGCAGTTTCTCCTGCTCGTTGGCGTCCGTGGCGTACTGCGCCAGCTCATAGAGGACGTTGGTGCGGGGCGGGTTGGTGATGTCCAGGTAGTAGGTCAGAGCAGAGCGATAGGTGGTGGGGCAAGGGAACGGGTGCTTCTTGTTGGACTCCTCTGCAGGAGGGAAGCGAGGGAGAGGGTTCGGAGGCGCTGTTCCACAAGTATCACTCCCGGGGGGGGGGGGCGGGAAGAACAGTCCCCCTCCGTTCGAGTCCCGGTCTGCTGATGTGCCTCAAGGGGTACCGGTCCCCAATTATGGGCAGGCGTGAGTATAGGGAGCACACACACACACCCCGCACAAACACCCTGCTCCCCAAAGCAGCTTTGGAATGGAATGGGTGTCTGGTATTTCTTTTTAAAAAAATATCTGGCATCCCTAAAAACAGGAAGGGGAAATTGGCAGAAATCACACCTCCTCTTACAGAATCACCGAACCATAGAGTTGGAAGGGGCCATACAGACCATCTAAGTCCAACCCCCTGCCCGATGCAGGACCGGCCTAAAGCATCTGACATTAGTTGCTGTAGATTTTCCGGGATGTGTGGTGTAGTCTTGGCATTGGCATCTCTGACAAATATTCGTCCAGCCTCTTCTTGAAAGCTGTCAGTGAAGGGGAGCTAACCACCTCCCTAGGAAGCGGATTCCACCTTTGAACCACTCTGGCCGTGAAAAATGTTTTCCTCATATCCAGCCGATACCTTTCTGCATGTAATTTAAACCCATTGCTTCGGGTCCTATCCTCTGCTGCCAACTGGAACAGCTCCTTGCCCTCCTCCAAATGACAGCCTTTCAAATATTTAAGGAGAGCAATCATGTCCCCCCTCAGTCTCCTCTTCTCCAAACTAAACATTCCCAAGGCCCTCAGCCTTTCCTCGTAGGGCTCAGCCTCCAGACCCCTGATCATCCTCGTCACTCTCTTCTGCACCCTCTCGATTTTGCCCACATCCTTTTTGAAGTGAGGCCTCCAGAACTGCACACAGTACTCCAGGTGCGTCCTGACCAAGGCAGTATACAGAGGGGGCTATGACCTCCTGCGATTTCGATGCTATGGCCCTTCTAATGCAACCCAAGACTGAATTTGCCGTTTTTGCCACCACATCACACTGACTGCTCATATTTAGTTTACAGCCCACTCTTCCATTAGTGGAAAGGTTAGCCTGGATCCAGCCCAATAAATCCATCTCGGCGACAAAGAAAAACAGTTTTTCTAGTAGGAGGGAGGGGGGGGGAAACACTCACCATCGAGATTGTTTAGGGAGATGACCATATCCAGATCTGCCCCAAGGATTTTGCCAAGCTGGTTCACTAGCGAAGCCTCATTGGCTGGGTACACGGCAATGTGGTCTCCAGACTCATACCTGGGCGTGGGGAGAAAGAGGCCAAGAAGATAACCCACATCCCATCTCTTGCTTTAGAGCCTTCGTCTGATCAAGTCACCCAGTCTGGAGCACCCTCTAAATTCAAACCTCTACCCTTCGGAGGCTCTGACCCAGATACCCTGAGCTACCTCAATCTCATCAGGTCTTGGAAGCTAAGCAGGCTTGACTCGGGTTAGTACTTGGATGGGAGACCACCAAGGAAGTGACCCAGAGGCATGCAGAGTCAAACCCCCTCTGAACATCTCTTGCCCAGAAAACCCTACAGGGTCACCTTAAGTCAACCGTGACTTGCCAGGCGGGCGGGGGGGAACCCTTTCGAGAAATCACTTTACAGATACGACAGGCCCCAATTAAAACACTGATGGGGGGGGGGGAAAACAAGAGTTTTATAGAGACCCCTCAGTGTAAAATAGCAATCTGTACTGAAGATGATTTGTTTATAGCCCAAAATGGTATTTGGAATCTGTAATGAACCCTATTTCAATTTATTATTTTTCCAGGTCTGGCGAGGCGTCATAAATATTTTCTAAAAATCTAGACATAAATTTAAAGTCCACACAGACTGAGAATGGTTAACAGCGCTTCAGCTTATCCACAAAAGTGACCAGGCAGCTGAGAGTTTTCCCCTTGCTGGGGTCCTTCAAGACCCAAATACCTTGGATGTGCAGACCCATTCAATTAGGTCTAAATCTAACACCCTTTTAGTGAATTCCTCAAATTAAACCACACCCGAACACAAAGGACTGGAGGTTGAAACTCTGCAGGACAACTCACTCCTCCGCACTGCAGAAAACACACGAAATGCCACAAGTTTGGGGACGGGGGAGGAAGCTGTACAATACATTTCTCTTCCACTCTTGGGTCCCCCTATGATCCGGAGTGCAAGGAAGACGAAGGGCACAGACGCGGAATCCTCACTCAGCAAATCAAAACTGTGCACCGGACTACAGAGTCATGCAGCGACCTCCGTATAACCCATGGGATAGAACTCTTGACCAGTGTTCCCTCTAAGCTGAGTTAGTGTGAGCTAGCTCACAGTTTTTTAGCCTCCGGCTCACACATTTTTGTCTTGGCTCAGGAAGGATGGCTCCAGAGCAAACTAATTTATGCAGCAGCCAAATTGCTCGCTCACAACTTTAATGGTAGTCACTCACAAAGTGGAATTTTTGCACATAAGACTCTGCAGCTTAGAGGGAACATTGCTCTTGACTGTCATGGTCTCTCTGTGTCTGACTTACCGGATTTTGGAACCAGCGATGTCCAGTTCTAGGTGCATGAAATGCCTGTCTCCGCCTTGATTTAGCTTCCGGTTCACGGTGACCGGGGCCAGGAAGGGGTTTTTGGCATCAAATGGCCTGGAAGGGAAAAAAACAAGATCAGTCTGGATTGTTCCACAGGGTAGCTGTGTTGGTCTGCAGCAGAACAGCTAAAAACAAGTCCAGTCGGCACCCTAGAGTCCAACAAGGTTTTCGTGGTACGATTTGTCCAGATAACAAGTTTTCCCTTCATCACATGAGAGTTGAAAGGGAAATCTTGGAGTCCTCATACCCCGGTCAGAAGAGGGTTGCAAAGAAGGAAGTCAGAACACAGAGGTACAATCTGCATTGCAATCAGCTTGATTAGAGCAGAGAGGAAATGCCAAGGGGGAGAAAATAAGCATCAGTAGTGAGGTAAGAATCCAGTGTCCTTATTCAGCCCGGGAGGGGGACATTGTTCTGAACTTGTGAATGAACTTGAGTTCAGCAATCTCACATTGTAATCTCCCCTTGAAGCGTCTCTATTTGGATTGTGTGCCTCCACCTACATTTATTACCCTACCTGGTCGGGAGGGAGGGTCATTCAAACCCACTACAAAAGGGATTTTTAAATCTAACCTGTTACTTTGTTTTTGTAAAGCTACATCCTTGGTCGGCAGCTATGTTGCCGAGCAACACATATAACAGGGAGAGTGACAAGCCACCCACTTCCAAATTGGCCTGATAGCATATCCAGCCACCATTTGCCCATTTCCCTTCAGTGCCTGGGTGATCCTCTTGCTTGTACCTGCTCCTGTCCACCTTTGCTGGCTCCCCTGTTGTTTCAGGAGGCACAAAGACAAGGTAATGCTCCTTATACCCGAGGGCCACCAGCCGCCAGCCTCCTGACCCTTACTCAAAGCAGTGTAACAAATGAACACTAATGTGCTGGTGGAATTCCTTGCTAGTAATCTCCCCAAATGCATAAATCATGCTGTGTGTATAGACCGGGGTTGCGTGTGTTAAGTTGCACCTGCAGTTTCTGAACCTCCAGGTGTACATGCATTTCCCAGGTTCCTCTTGGCAATGAGGACTAGAAATTGCGGCCTTAAAAACAATCAAGATCCAGAACACACAGTTATCACAGCAGAGGACTACGCTCCCCGTGACAGTTTCACCCTCCCAGGGCCGGCCCCAGGTTCTTTTACACACTAGGCGAGGCTACCTTGTGGCACCCCTCCCAGGTGAGGCTACCTTGTGCCGGCCCTGTGTGCAAGGCCAGAGAAGGAGCCCTGCCAAGCCTTTCCTGGAGAGACCAGTCAGCAGCCCCCCCTGGTGAGGGGGATCGGGAGCAAAAGGGTGGCGTGGCTGGCGTGCCAAGGGGCGGGCGGGCGGGGAGGCGCTTCCCAGCAGCCTTGTCGGAGGGAACAAAGGAGCCTCCTCCTCCTTGGCATCAGGCGGAGAGATATTTTCTGCTCCACTTCGCATCACGAGAGATTAATCAGAGCCAGTAACTTTTCAAGAGCCGTAACTGTAACTGCATCCCCACTGCCGCTGCTAGCACGCAGGGAAGGAGGGAAAGGAGCCTCATGGGGGCATGCTGGGGGCGCCTCATCCAGCAGCGCAGGCTGGGCTGGGCAGCGAGGGCGGCTGCTCTCTGCTGAGATCCGCTGCTGCCGCCCAATGACAAAGCGGGCGGCTCCCGCTCCCTGGCACCGCCGCTCTCCCTCCCTGCAAACCGACGGGGCACCCAGGACCCTGCAGCCGCGTCTCCTGATGGCGAGTTGAGCAGGGCTTTTGGAAAGGGAGGGGCAGGGGGCGGTGCGGCAGGGCAGTGCGGCGCCCCCTTTCAGGGGCCAGTCTAGGCTACTGCCTAAAATTTGTCAATGACGGGCCAGCCCTGCACCACCCTCCAGCTTCTCACCAGAGCTGCACGTGGGAAGTCTTTTATTTTCAAAATCCAAACTTACGGCTTCTGGTTCTCGTAGCTCTTGAGACGGCCCATTTCTCCTGTGTAAACCTTGTTCATGTTGATGTCTTCGTAGATAACCAGCTCGTACTGACGTATGCTGTGGAAGAACAGCAAATGGGTGTCAAGGAGACAGGAGCATCCCACAATTAGAGAATTGGGGATTGTTCTGAATAGCCGCAAGGAGCGCACTAAGCCTGCTGCACATGGTGACACACCATCTGGATTCGTGGCAAAACAACGTTGCTACCTGTTCCCATTGTGTACAGGGGAACATGTATAGAGGAGGCTTCATCTAGGCTCTGGATAGAGGGCTCATTCAGACTTCACTTAGTCCAAGAACAAGCTTCGGACATGCTGGGGTCTGTAGACGGCTCTTAATCCAAAACCTTCCCAGTGGGTAACGTCAGCCCGTCTATACAGAAGGAGCTGCCAGCACAGATCCAACTCTCTATCCACTGAAACCGCGCCATTTGCACGCAAGGCTGCCTCTGCCGTCATCTCTTATCCCTGCGCTCACCTGGATTCATCTCCGGTGGCCTCCACGCCAAAGTGCTCGCACACTGCCGGCCAGAACTGCTCGCGCCACGTGATGAAATCCTCTTCCAGGCTGCAAGAGGGTGGGGAAGAAAGATGTGATCGAGGGAACTAAAGCAGGGGTCCCACGGGCGCCCGCCAACACCTTTCCTGGTGCCCCACCAAGTGCTCTTAGGAAGTGAGTGGAGCAGGTGGGGCTCTTGTCCAGCAAGGCTGCGCAGATTTTTAAAAGTGTTACTTTGGCCAGCACAGCGCAAGGATCTTCACTGTACGGCTGAATGCCAGCCACACAGACACTGATTGATCACACAGCAAAAAAAAATTAAAAAAATTAGCAAAACTGTGCACAATAGAAGACGCTGAGAGTAGCAGAAGCTAATAAATACAATATTGTAATATATATAATGACATGGATGAGAATATTTAATCAAAAATAACAAAGCCATCAAATACAACAAGCACAAGAATAATACAAAGATCAGAGGTCGATTCGGGGGGGATCGCGGGGGATCGCAGTTCCCCCGGGTGAGGGGCGGGGGGAGCACACAACGAAGCCCCGCCCCCTGCTTCCGGCTGCCCCGCTTCTGGCCCTCATTCAGCCAGGAGGAGGCAGGAGAAGAGGGAGGGTAAATTGCTTCCTCCCCGCCTCTCCCCACCCCGCCTGCCTGGGGCCAGGGAGGGCCTTGGCGGGGCTTCCTCGCACTCCCGCCGGCCTTGCAGGTCCACCGCCGGGCCCCTGATGTCAGGGGGTGTGGCATATGCTAATGAGTTATGCTAATGAGTTCCCCTAGCTGTATATCATAGGCAGGTCAAGCAGGTATGTCAAGCCTAACAGTTTGTTACCATTTTGAGGCAAAACCAGAAGCAAGAATTGGTGCAAAAATTTCTTTCTCACGTGTCTTTGGCTAGTGACCTGGTTGCCCATTTATACAAATGGCATATCCTTCTGAGGGTAAGATGCTCATGTATGAATTTTTTGCTTATGTATTCCCTAGGGAAGCCTTTTTTGGTTTTTGGATTCTCTTTGGAAGTTGCTCATGTATTCTCCTTGGAGGTGGTGTTTAGTAATATTATACTTATTTTATAGAATGTGCTTCTCAGATGCGTATATCCTGGTTGTACTGAAAATTTTACCTGAGATAACTTGTAATAGGTAATATCATTTTTATACTTTTTGCTTTACACAAACATATGTCTCAGTCCTTTTGCTTATACTCAGTTTTAGTTCCCCTTTGCTTGTATTTAGTCTTAACTGAAGAAGAATTTTGAAACGAGGTTATTAATATCCGGAACCTTCATATCAACTCATCAGACTACTTACCTGCTTGACCTACTTATGTTATACAGCCTCTATGTATTATTCTTGGGCTTGTTGTATTTGATGGCTTTGCTATTCTTGATTTAATATTCTCATCCGTGTCCTTATATATATTACAATATTGTATTTATTAACTTCTGCTGCTCTCAGCGTCTTCCATTGTGCACAGCTTTCTTATTTTTTGAAGGTCATCCGCAGCCATTTTGTGGCTGCGCTTACCACACTGGGTCAGAATTCCAGAGGTGCCCACAAGCTCAAAAAAGCTGGGGGCTGTTGCACTAAAACATCACTTCCTGCCTAGAAAGGATCTTCCCCCTCGGCTTGCGACCAGATTTGCTATCCCACCAAACACATAAGAAGAGCAGAATAAGGCCCAAGGCCCATTTAGCCCCAAATCCTGTTTCCTAAAAAAGGTGGGGATCCCTGGGATATGTGACGCAGTATTATGCCTATAACTAGAAAAAGAAACAAACCACTCTGTAACCTTGAACACAGCGCCTGGAGAGCCAGGCAACCCAAAGGCAGCACCCAAGAATCACAGTTGCAGATTCTGGGGGTTTTCCCCCTTTGCAAAGTTTCTAGTCTTCAAGGCTGCAGAAATGGGTTTGAAAGCAGGAGGCCAAGGCCGGGGGAAACCTCAGTAGCCCAAGCTGGGTCTGAATAAGATTTTGAGAGGGCAAGGTGTGGGGTTTCTATGCCCTGCATCTTCTCTGCTCCCCGTCCCATGAGAAATGCAAATGGTATTTGGGTGAGCCTGTTTACTTGTCCAAGCGTTGGAGTGGCTTCCAGGTAGTTTCTGGGTGCAATTCAAAGCACTGGTTTTGCCCTGGAAGACCGAAACAAACAAGCCATCCACAGCCTGTGTTTCTGCTCCCAACCAAGAATGCTCTCAAGCCATAAATAGGGGAGATGCCAGTCTCTCCCTTTGTATTTTTAAAAAATCTATATGCAAATGCACACACATCCAGGCAATGCTTCCTCACCCTTAATTCAGAAGTGTCGAACTCATTTGTTATGAGGGCAGATCTGCCATAAAAGTCACTTTGTTAGGTGGGGCCCCATCGTGTGCTGTAAAATGCAATGCCGGGCGCCAGAGATATTTCACCACTAGCCGTGATCCACACCCCTCCTCAGCACCTAACTAACTGCCCTTTGCTCGAAAATGCACAAGACGTTTTGCACGGCGCAGAGAGCTACTGCCTGACAATCAAGGAGCAACAATCAGAGGCTCTTCAGAGACTAATGTATTTCAGGCGCTTCGGATGCAGGGAGCCCAGGGAATTTGCACGTGTTTCGGCTTTGCCTCGTTATTTAATCCCCCCTGCGGTGCCGAGGGAGAGAGGCAGGAGGGAGAGGAGCGTGCACGTTTGGGTCAGCGGGCCACCCAATTTGGCGGGCCTTTTCTCTCGCGCCCAGGCTGCTATGCACAGTGTGCCCGGCGCAGCCTGTTCACAGGCTTACATAAGCAAGCGCGTTTGGCAAGCCGTGGCCGGTGGCTTTCCACAGGCACCTTCCCTGGGCGGGCAGCCTGCAAGTGGGAAGTCGTTTGGCTGGGCCCAGGGAAGTGGAGCCAAAGAGATCCTGCTTGCTGAGCATGGACAGCCAGCCCTCTTTCCAGCAAGCCAGGCGGCACAGGAAGGAGCCCAAAGCCCTCTGGCGGGCGGGCCGGCAGCACATCCCGGGCTGGTACCTCGGCCAAGGGCAGCAGACGGGCCCCAAGGAAACTGGCTGCACAGCTCAGGGCCAAACCAGCCCTCCTCGCCCCTTATGGTTGCCAACTCTGGGTTGGGAAATCCCTGGAGATCTGGGGAAGACCGTGGGGAGCGCCTGTGTTTGGGGAAGGGAGGGACCTCCGCAGGCCCCTCCAGTCCGCATTCAGACTGGTTTCCCCCCAACTTCTTTGCAGGTCAGGTAATGGCCCTGGACAGGCTGGTTCCGAATCCAGGCCGTATGTCTGACACGGCTGCACATTGACCTAAAAATCTACTTCTAGTACACACTGTTAACTAATACTGCACCTAGTCTACGTCTTAGCTAAGAAACACAGTTCAGAAAGCACGGCTGTAAGCTGTATGACGAAACCTCGAATTGCAAAAACAGGACGGCAATGCCACGCTCGCTGCTAGGTTGGCCTGCCAGCCAACTGGCGACCACCGATCCAGACGGCCACTCACTTCCCGTCGTCGTCTCCCAGGCCGAGCTCAAAGATCCGCTGGCCGCCAAGCTCCTCCAGTCGCTTGTCCACGTATTTCCCCATGGCGTTGAAATGTTCGTATGTTTTATTCCCAAGTCCAAATACCTGGAAGGCAACGGAGGAAGGTTTGCAGGTTCAGATGCAGCCAATTAGCCAAGTCCAGAGAATGTCTGCTTGAAGAAAAGACTGGCATCCAAGCTGCCAGGACACTGTGGTAGAGCACTGAGCTAGAAGCGGTCATTCGTGGCCTGAGAGCCAGCATGGTGCTGTGGTAAGAACATTAGACTAGGCTCAGGGAGACCCACTTTCTTTTCCCCCCCAAAAAACAATTTATTAGGATATAATTAAAAAATGTTCAAACATACATGAAAACTTATACAATTATATATCCTTCCCTCCTCCCTTCCCCCCCCTTTTCGGCTTCCCACAGTGCTCCAACCTCCAGCTCAATTCTTAAATTTTCTCCATACCTCCCTTTCTCCTTATTCACAACCATAGGTAACTTATCTTTCAACAATTATTCTTATACGTTTGTCTATTTTCTACTACCCTTCAGTTTTCAATAGTTCTCAAAGCGAAGTAAATTGTCCTTTACATCCCAGTATTTCTCCAAATAATCTTTAAAGTCTTTCCAGTCTGCAAAAAAATTCTTCTGCTTCCAAATTGTTACGTTTCCTTGTCATTTTGTCAATTTCAACCAGGGAGACCCACTTTCGAAGCCCCACTTGGCCCCGGAACTGTGACTGACCCAAGGTCACCCAGCTAGCTTTATGTGGGGGAGTGGGGAATCAAACCCGGTTCTCCAGATTAGAGTTCGCTGCTCTTAACCACTGCACCAAACTAGTTCTCAAGGTTTTGGTCTTAACTTTTAAGGCCCTAAACGCTCTGGGACCAATGTTTCCATGGGACCGCCTCTCCTGGTATACCCCCAGAAGAGCACTACGCTCTGGCAAGAAAAACCTCCCGGTGATTCCTGGCCCAAAAGACATCCGGCTGTCCTCAACCAGAGCCAGGGCCTTTTCAGCCTTGGTGCTGGCCTGGTGGAACTCTTTGCCTCAAGGACATCCATGCTCTGCTGGACTTAATACAGTTCTGCAGGGCCTGTAAGACAGAGATGTTTGGCCAGGCCTATGTTTTCCCTGCTTAACAATAACATCTGAACTGCCATGCTTTGGCAGTTCTACCCCCGTACTGGTGTGAGCAACCAAGCCTTGTCCTCGCTCATCGTCTACCCAGCGATTCGAAAGCTTCGGCGAGTAGATAAATTGGGGACCACCCGTAAGGGGGTGGGCACACCCCTCCCTTCGGGAATGTGTTAGCTGCCGAGGCAACTTCTGAGGCGCGGCAACCGGAAAGACGAAAGAGCTGTGTCGGCTTCCCTGCAGTGGAGCGAGTCGGCCAGGCGGTAGCACTGCACAACATCAAGAAGCCAGACGTCATCAGCCAGCCGACAAGATGCCGTAGGAACACGACTGACCCAGCCCGCAGATGAAGCCCGGCTAGCTGCAATGTGTGTGTAATTAATGCTGTATGTTTGTCTTCCCTATCCCCACAAAATATTGTTAGTCCAACTGTCTCAAGAGTAACTGTAAATTGCTCTGAGCCCGCAGGTATGTGGGAAAGAGCGATCAATAAATCAAAAGCATTATTATTATTATTATTATTATTGTTGTTGTTGTTGTTGTTGTTGTTGTTGTTGTTATTGTTATTGTTATCATCATTATCATCATTATCATCATTATCATCATTATCATCATTATCATGTTTGAAGACAGCAACGCTTTCAACCAAGCCTGTCTCCTTCCTTTCTCTCCCCCCCCCCCCAATGGGGTTAGGACATAAATCAATTCTTTGAACGCCATCTGTTAACAGTTCAGAATTGTCTAGTGTTTAAAATAGTTTTAGTCCGATTGTAACGCTTTGTTCGCTGCTCTGAGCCCTCGGCATAGGGGAGGGCGGTCTATAAATCAAAGAAATAAACACAAGTGGGGGTATGAACGAACTAAAACAAACAAACTGGATTCCCACCCCCAAGTGGACAAGGCAATTGTGAACAACTGCGGCAGGACAATGATGGTACAATATCACAACAGTGCATGAGCGTAGCCTCAGCTCACAAACTGGCTTTCAACCCAGTAAGACCCAGCCCACCTGCTGGTTTACCATGGGAGGAAGAAAGGCCTGATGCAGCCAGCCAGCCCCCCTCCATGCAGGGGCAGCGGACAGACAGCAGGTGGCGGCATAGAGCTCCCTCCACTCCAGCCCATGCCTAAGTGCCAGCTCTGATGAAACCCATTCAAAGGACTGAAGGTGTAATGGTCAGATAAGGAACAGGTTCAGATCCCTGCAGTACCATGAAAATGACTAGAGGACTTTGAGCCAGCCTCCTGCCCCCGCCCCCCCATTTCTCTCTTTCAGCCTAACCAGAGTTTCTGTGAGGATAAAATTCAGGAGAGGAGAATTATGGACAGCGCCCTTGGCTGGAAGGCAAGATTTTCAAAACTGAGCAAGACGCAACAAGCCAAGCAGACACCATGCCCAGATTCTGCCAGGGAACAGAGGAAAATGAAAATATTTAGTGCTGGGTGCCACACTCACCTTCCATTTTAAGAGAAGCCGCAGGTTTCTAGACCGTATAAAGACGGGCTCAAAAGTCCAGAGACATCTCAGCCACTCGGGTGTGGCTGAAAGATTTCAGCGGCTGCAGGCATGGCTGCCCCACTCCCTGCATATCTCTCGCCGTTCCTCCCGGGCACCAGCTAAACCAGGGGCGGACGGAAACCCGAGAAACGGCCCAAACAGACCTAATATGTACATGTTGCTGAACTGAGCTTTTGAGAGGACACAATTTGGAATGCAGCGCTGACTTGTAAAACTGTTTTTGTGCTGGATCCGGGAGCTGGGGGGGGAAAAACCCGCGCCGAGAGAGGGGCACCCCATGGTCAGAACAAGAACAGCAGGGAAACAGCTGGATGGTTCCTGGCATTGGGGGGGGGGGTGTTTAGGACAAAGCAAGGCAGCCAGCAAGGAAGAGGAGATTAATATAGAACCATGTTTACTTCCCCCCTCCTAAAGAACCTGGCTAGTCTTCCAGCCCACTGTAAATTACAGAGTCTTTGGGCTGGAAGTGACCAAGAAATTACCCTGACCATTGCTAAAAAAATTTCTTATGTAATCAAATTCAATAGATAATTGAACTTGGACAATCTGATGTTTTAGCTGTTACAGGTGAATTTAGTAAAGGTAAAGGTTTCCTTTGCTCAAAAGCCAGTAGAATCCGACTCTAGGGATGCGGTTCCCATCTCCATTTCCAAGCCGAAGAGCCAGCGCTGTCCGAAGACGTTTCCGTGGCCATGTGGCTGGCATGACTGGACGCCAAGGCGCACGGAACGCTGTTACCTTCCCACCGAAGCGGTACCTATTTATCTACTTGCAATTTCTTGCTTTCGAACTGCTAGGTTGGCAGGAGCTGGGGCCAGAGGCGGGAGCTCACTCTGTCATGCGGCACCCGGGTCTCGAACTGCTGAACTACCGGCCTTCCGGCCTGCAGTTCAGCATCTTAACCCCTTGAGCCACCGCAGCCCACACAGGTGTATTTACTGTTGTTATTACTATCACTATTGCTGTTGTTGTTACTATTTATTGCCGTTAACATTATCATTCCTTACTGCTGCTGTGTTTTTGAACTGTTATTGGTCAAGACTGTAGTCAGAAGAGCAGAGAAGAAATGTAATGTCACACCAATGGGAGGAGGAGATGGTAACTGACAAGGCAAGAGATAGCCGGAGGGTGAGCCAAGGGCTTCCTGCAAGGGGCAGAAGGTTTATTCATTTATTTCAATTATATCCCACTTTTCTCCCCAATGGGGACCCCAAAGTGGCTCACATCATTCGCATCTTCTCCATTTTATCTTCACAACCACCCTGTAAGGTAGGTCAGGGTGAGAGTGTGTAACTGGCCCAAGGTGATCCAGCGAGCTTCCAGGACAGACTGGGGATACAAACCCTGGAACCACCACCCCCGGATCTGGTCCGACATCCTAACCCCACTACACCACGCTGGGTTTCAGTGTGCCTCATGGGCTGTAACTGAGGTGAGGGAAGGAGAGAGCACACAGAAGACCTGCCAATCTGGGCATCTGGTGAACGTCTCACTGAGCTTATTAACATCTGGTAGCATAAAAGGCAGATTGTTCCAGCTTGTAATTCCCAATGCGATACGGGAAAGCAGCAAATTCATTTGAGCAGGCAGACCAGATTCAGAAGGGGGAACGCAGGCCAAACCCTTCTCAAATCAGCCGGCTGGGCAGCAGGAACAGGGGGAGGCGACTTCTTTTAACATCCACGAACAGCAAAGTAGGGCACTGTATTGATCGTGCAGAGGTTTGGTGCCCAGAACCTGATGCCCTGAATCCTGCCTTCCAGCCTCGCCTCTCCATCCCCCCTCCAGGCACCCATGTCAGAGTGAGACGAGCACCCCCCAGAATGCTCCACGGTCACGCCCCCTGAGGCATGAGCAGCTGAACACGGCTAGCAAGACACTCACGGCGTATTTGATGCCAGCTAGGTTGGCGTCTGTTTCCTGCAGCCAGTCGTAGAAGTCTTGGGCGTTGTCTGTTGGGTCTCCTTCCCCGTAGGTGGCCATGCAGAAAACTGCCAGGGACTTCTCGATCTCGGTGAGGCGACTCAGGTCGGACTGGGGAAGAGGGGAATCAAAACGGGCCTCAGCGGCAACGGCAAAACTGACATCTTATATATAAAACAGACCGATTTCAGAATTCCAAGGGAAATGGAATGTATTTTTCAAACATACAGCTGACGATCAGGACTAAATTGCTAACGCAGAGAATGACTAAGAGGCAGAGTCAGGCAACGCATCCTTGTAAAACTGAATTCTTAGGTGGGAAGGGATGAGGGAAAGAGAGAATAAAGTTAAATAGAAGTGTAAAATTAAGAAGATCTATAAATACGTTTTACGTAAGCAAGCAGGTTCTGATTGAGAACTGTAATAAATTAGATTACTGTAGCACGTAGTTCAGCAGCAGATTAGTCTGTGCTATTGTGCTCCCCATAACAACCTATGGCTGCTAAAGTTGGACCATGAAGAAGCAGGACAGGACGAAAATCGACTCATTTGAGCTGTAGTACTGGAGAAGGCTCTTGCGCATTCCTTGGACAGCAAAGGTGACAACCAAGCAAGCATGGGAGCGCATAAAACCAGACATGCCATTGGAACCAAAAAAAATCACAAAACTGCAATTGACTTATTTTCGACCATGTCATGCAGAAGAACTCACTAGAAAAGGCAATTATGCTTGGATTGGTTAGTGGCAAAAGGAAACCTGGCCGCCAAAGAACACGGCAGCGAGACACCATAAAACTCGACACCAGCCCAAGCATGGAACAGTGCAAAGAAACAGTACAAGATCGGAAAACGTGGAGAGAGCTGGCCCATAGAATCACCAAGAGTCAAACATGACTGAAGGGCTAACTACAACAATAACAGCATGTAGTGTATCTAGTATTGTAGCTATGCATGATTTAGATATGGTAGATGGAAGTCACTGTAGAAGAAATTGTCGTTTATACTTATGCCTGTGTAAGATGACTGGAGTTGTGTTTGGTATTATTATGGAATATGTTATTTATTTTTATGTTACAAAATAAATAAAAATAAAAATTAAAAAGAAAAGGGCATCAACCCCCAAGCATTTTCATACTAAAGTATCAGATCAGGGGCCAAATCTGAGCGGGCCTTCTATCTCCTGATCCCCCTCCTGTGGACGCAATCGCCTACTGCCGGCCGTGTACTGGCTGTGTTCAAGGGGGCCTTGAAAACCCTTTCCTTTTTCTTTTTTTTTATAAAAAACCCCTTTCCTTCTTGAGGCCTCTGATGATGGATGTACATCTTTTGGCTATGGGTTATGATCACTTTTGCTTATTCTATCTCTCTTTTACCTGGTTAATGGTTAATGACTGTTGACAATGGTTAATGATCAGCTAGGAGATTTTCTGCTGAAAAATGAGTCTTCACTCTTGTCAGTGCTAAAAAATCACCATGAGCACTAAGATATCAATGGATGTTGGGGCCAGGGGTCATTTCCTGCAGGAGCGCACAGGAGCGGGGCTCCGGCAGTAAAGAGCCCAGGGGGTGGGCACATGCAACAAACCCCACACCCTGCTCCCAGCAGCCCTCAATCAGAGCAAGAAGCAGCCAGGTAAACTGCAGAGTCCCCCCCCCCCCCGAAAACAGTCCAGTGGCACTTTTAAGACCAAGTTCTATTCAGGTACAAGCTCTCCCTCCTCTGCGAGGACAGATCTGCACGACCCCCCCCCCCCAAATAGCTAGCAACCCAAAACAGTCCAGTGGAGCCTGAGCGGTGGGTGTTGCCTTCTGACACACTTCTGGTGACGTCAAGGGGTGTGGCATATGCAAATAAGTTGTGCTAATGAGTTATGCTAATGAGCTCCTGCACCTCTTTTTCTACGAAATGACCCCTGGTTGGGGCTAACTAAAGGCAAGCTTTTGGACTTTGCAAGGCTCTGTTTATTTAGTCCACGAATAGACTGCCTTTCATCCATCGAGGAACTGGAGAGTGTCGGGGGGGGGGATGTCTCAGGCAGCCTCCCCGTCCAGATGCTGACAAGATGCAGCCCTGCCTATAGCCTCCGCAGAGGGGCCACATCACACTTGCGCACTCCCCAACTACATGGAGGCCAGTGCTGTCGTCAGAGCCAACTCACAGCAACACGGTAGGGTTTTTAAGGCAAGAGACGAACAGAGGCGTTTTGTCCTTGCCTGCCTCTGCATAGCAACCCTGGACTTCCCTGGCAGCCTCTCACCCAAGTACTAGCCCAGGGCCCTTCCTGCTTAGCTTCTGATAGCTGACAAGATCGGGCTTGCCTGGGCCATCCAACCATATATGGGGATCCAAAAGGGATTCTGAAAGAGGTTTGCATCGTGGCATGGCTGCTCTAGACAGGCAACCCAACTCTCAAGAGGGGATCATGTCATCATTACACACGGCAATTCCTAAAAGGGACCAGGGTTCCTTTTTTTAAGGAAACGTGGTGCAGGCTTTAAAAAAATTATGAACAGTAGTGAGAGACCTTTTCCTCATCTGGTATTAGGACTTGGGGTCACCTGATTAACTGGACTGGTTTTAGCTCCAGGGCAGGCAGCAGTAACTTTTGCAACTTGCTATGAGATCAGACACTTGGAAGGGGCCAGAGAGGCCACCTAGTCCACCCCCCTGCTCAGTGCAGGATCAGCCTAGAGCATCCCTGTCAAGTGTCCGTCCAGCTGCTGCTTGAAGACTGCCAGGGAGGGGGAGCGCACCACCTCCCAAGGCAGCTGATTCCACGGTTGCGCAACTCTAACTGTAAAAAGCTTTTTCCTAATATCCAGCTGTTTCTAATTTTCCTGCCCTTAATTTAAACCCATTATTGCAAGTCCTGTCCTCTGCTGCCAACAGGAACAGCTCCCTGCCCTCCTCTAAGTGACAGCCCTTCAAATACTTAAAAAGAGCAATCATGTGTGTGTGTCCCCCTCTCTCCAGACTGAACATTCCTAAGTCTTTCAAACTTTCCTTGGAGGGCTTAGTCTCCAGGCCCCTGATCATCTTCATTGCCCTCCTCTGCACCTGCTCTGTTCTGTCCGCATCCTTTTCGAAGTGAGGCCTCCAGATGTGTGGTCACCAGAAGCCTCTACTTTCAGCATGAGTGTTTTTTAAAGAAAAATCAGACAAATCCAAGTGGCTTCACTGAACTCCAGAACATGCCTGCAAGCACCAGTTGTCAGGAGGGCGGCCGCAGGAGATGACAGGTGCCTTCATTCCCTTCTCGCAAGCATCCTGGGGGCACCTATCAGATACTGGGCTAGAAGGATCCATTTGGGTTTGATCCAGGGAGGTTTACACATATTAGGCAGCTTACACAAAAGGACTTGCTTTCAAGGCAGGTCCATCATCAAGAGGTGAAATTGCTAGGGACGTACCAAGTCGTACTCCTCAGGGTCGGCAGACATGCCCCGCATGCCGTACCGGTGGGCATCTTTGGCCAGGCGGTTGCCAAACTCTTCAGCAGTCCCTGTCTGGGAGCCATAGAACACCACAATGTTTCTTCCCTAGAATAGGAGTGAAAAGAAAAAGAAAACGGGGATTAGCAACGTGCCTAAAAACATAGGCACTGGAATTGTTCATCCACTTTCAGACTTTGCCATTTGAGGGTCCTGATACAGGAGGTAGCGACCCTTGGTTCTTTCATCATCAGTCCTCCAGGGCTAGAACAGGCTCATCTGCATAAAGCAGCAGATGAATGCTTCAAGAGGGAATTAGATAAGCATATGGAGCAGAGGTCCATCAGTGGCTATTAGCCACAAGGAATAGATAGGAACTCTCGGTCAGGGGCAAATGATGCTCTGTATTCTTGGTGCCTGGGGGGGGGGCAACAGTGGGAGGGCTTCTGGTGTCCTGGCCCCACTGCTGGACCTCCTGATGGCACCTGGTATTTTTGGCCACTGTGTGACAGAGTGTTGGACTGGATGGGCCATTGGCCTGATCCAACATTGGCTTCTCTTATGTTCTTATGTTCTTACGTTGTCCCTGGACTGTACCACTGCTGACTGCAGGTGGTAAATAGCTAACTGGGGGTGAGGGGAGAAAAACAGCACATAAAGGAAAACTAGCCTATCTATCTCCCTGGCATGCTAGATTTCTACATGCAGTGATTTTTTAAAAAAACCACACTGCAGGGGAGTGATGGAGGTTGTATGTCTGAAATCCAAGAATGGCCCTATCATCTCATCTGCTACAAGGGCCTCATTATGGGTCTTTCTACGCTTTAGGCCCCAATCTTTGCACGCCACAAGGCCTTCTGGGTTTTACCTAAATGGCTCTCCAGGAAACTGGATCCTGGTGCCAGTTAAGTGGCCCCCCGAAGTGGTTTCTTTTGCCGCTATGGACTCAACTGACATTACTGACTTTAATGCATTTATAAGGTATTTAAATGTATCGTAAGCCGATTCGGGCACAGGGCTAAAGAAAATGTGGCTAATATCCAACCAGTCACCTCAAAACAAGGGAGCCGGGCTTGAAAGTGGTCCCCCCCCCCCCCCCCACCACTGTCAGCCAGGCAAAAGAACGCAGAGTCCAGACTAACGTACCGTCTTCTTCATTTTGTCAATAAAGCTGCCCTCACTGGTTGATGTTGTTCTGCAAGACAGAAAGTGGGAAAAAACATTCAGACTTCTGTATCCGTGTCAGTTATTTAAGAACATAATAGAAGCCAGTGTTGGATCAGGCCAATGGCCCATCCAGTCCAACGCTCTGTCACACAGTGGCCAAAAATACCAGGGGCCATCAGGAGGTTCAGAAGTGGGGCCAGGACACTAGAAGCCCTCCCACTGTTGCCCCCCCCCAAGCACCAAGGATACAGAGCATCCCTTGCCCCAGAGCCCCTATCTATACCTTGTGGCTAATAGCCACTGATCGACTTCTGCTCCATATGCTTATCTAATTCCCTCTTGAAGCCGTCCATGCTTGTAGCCGCAGCCACCTCCTGTGCCAGTGACTTTTTAAAAAAAACATTGAAGTGTCAGACAGTCATTTACACAGTCTCTCCCATCACAACTAGACAAGGTTGTCAAAGCAGTCTCATATACTGAAAGCTATTACTATGGCTACGCTCTACAGGTGAACGATTACCAAGGAAGTCCCCAGGTGCAAACCTACCTCAAAGTCGATAAAGGGGCCTACTGGTCCAGGGGTGTTGTAAAGATAAGCCAACACAAACTAAGCTCTTCGAACACTGTGAAGCCAATTTGTCACATGAATTTGAACATCTGTGTTCAGCTTGGAAAGAAGCTCACACTGGCTGCACATGGAACACACACAACTGCCCTTGTGAGGTGAGTGAGAAAGACTACTCCTACCCGAAGGACACCCAGAGAATCTGGCAGCCAAAGAAGGATTTGAACCTGAGTCTTCTGGTCCAAATCTGACGCTCTGTGCGCCGCACCGGAGTGGCTTGCTGTCTTAAGTATACTAATACTTAATATTATCTGGTGTTAGCCGGCGAACGGAAGGTTCGGCTCGCAAGATCAAAAAAACCCAAAAACCTAGAAGATCTCTTCGGCATCCAAGAAGCCTGTAATGGACCATTCTGGCCAGGCGGTGGCAGTTTGGAGCTGCGACCCAAAGAGTCCTGGAGAGGAAGAGCTGACGTCATCCAGCCAAGCCAAGCCGAGTGGGAAAAATGCCGTCCGGATCACGTCTGAGTTGCACTGAACTAATCCCCGTCGGCTGCAAAACGTGTGCTATGTAAAGATTATATGTGTTGTCCTCCCTTACCCCTATAAAGCATTGTTAGTCCCTTGTGAAATGAGTAACTGTAAATCGCTCAGAGCCAGCAGCTCTGCAAGGATTGAGCGATCAATAAATTGAAAGATTATTATTTATTATAAATACAGTCAACTCTGCGATTTCTTTGACTTAAAAACCCAGCGATAGGGCTTCTCGGTCTCATTCTGTACTAATTGCTTAAATGCCTTAATAAGAATATTACATCTTCTGGCATGATGCACCTTTGTCTTCTGGGAGGGATGCAATCCCCAAATATCACAACCAGGAATCTGCTCACCTCTGGGACTGTCTCCACCAGTATGGCCTCAGAAGAATGCTGAGATAACAACTTGCTGGTGACCCCTGGCCCCGACCTGGTGGGACTCTCTGCCAAACAATGTCCGGGCCCTGCAGGATCTGATGCAATTCCGCAGGGCCCGTAAGGTAGAGATGTGACGCCAGGCTCTTAGCTGAGGGCAGCAACAGGAAGTTAAGACCGGCACCCTCTCTCTTCTGTGGCTGTATCCTGCCCTGCCCTGCCCTGCCCTGCGGGACAGCAGTGTGGCCAGCGAGGGAGGATTACCGTATGCCATCTCGGATTGGTTTTAATTGATCGTTCTACTGTTGATAACTTTAAATAGATGTGAATTGTATTTAAACGTTGATGAGGTTGTAAATTGCCCAGAGCCTGCTTGCAGGGTGGGCGATTCATAAATCCAATTTAAAAATAAATAAATAAGAGGCTCTCCTGCATGAGACAGAGTCCAGCAGCATTTGAGAAAATAGATGCGTGGGGGAGAAAGGGCAATCCCCCCAGGGCCTGCTGTAAGTTGGGGGAGAGACCCTAGGCAAGACACACCCCTCCAGGAGAAGGAGGAGAAGACAGGATTTATACCCCGCCCTTCACTACCCAAGGGAGTCTCAGAGAGGCTTAAAAACTCCTCTCCCTTCCCCTCCCCACAACAGACACCCTGTGAGGTAGGTGGGGCTGAGAGAGCTCTGACAGAAACTGCTCCTTTTCAAGAACAGCTCTTATCAGAACTACAGCTTGCCCAAGGTCATCCAGCACCTGCAAGTGGAGGAGTGGGGACTCAAACCCGGTTCTCCCAGATCAGATTCCGCGCTCTTAACCACTACACCAAACTGGCTCTCAAGGGAGAAAGGAGGAAGGTGGGACTGTTTATTAGAGGCTCCTTCCTGGCACCACCCCCAGCATGGAACGGGAGATGGCCCCAGAGACCTCCAGGATAACCCCCAATTCCTGGAGGAAACTGATGGACAAAAGTCTACGACTGGCACAGTGGAATCTGCTAGGCCAGGCGCCTCTACGGAGGTCCTGCCATCTTAACCTTTCACCTGGCCCTGGGCCTCCCCTTCTAGGCACACTTCAGGAAGAGCTAATTCTGAAGACTGTGTGAATGCACACGCGCACACAAGCTGAAACATGCAGCTGCTCCACTAGCCCATCCAGCCTCCTATGCTTCCCAGACACATCTTGGGTAGGCTGGGGAGACTGGAAAGAGAAGCTCTCTGGGTTGCATTACCCAGGTGGCTCCTCACCTGCAGAACCCTCATGAGAACATAAGAGAGTAAGAAGAGCCCTGCTGGATCAGACCAGTGGTCCATCTAGTCCAGCATCCTGTCTCACACAGTGGCCAGCCAGTTACTCCAGAGGTCCAACAACAGGGCACAGAGGCCGAGGCCTTCCCCTGATGTTGCCTTCTGGCTCTGGGATTCAGAGGATTAGTGCTTCTGAACGTGGAGGTTCCCCTTCAGTAACCGTGGCTAGTAGTCACTGGTTGACCTATCCTCCACGACTCTGTCTTTTAAAGCTGCCACTCTCTCTACCCCATGCATAATTTTATAAACCTCTTATCATGTCCCCCCCTTAGTCATCCCTTTTCTAATCTGACTTCCTCCAGGAAGTCTGGTTTGCTCTGGCAAGTCCCCTTCACCTGACCAGACCAGGCTAGAAACAGACCAGGCTACTTCTTCACCCAAAGAGTGATTCACACATGGAATTCGCTGGCACAGAAGGGGGTGGCGGCTACAAGCATGGACAGCTTCAAAAGGGAATTGGATAAGTATATGGAGCATAAGTCCATCAGTGGCTATTAGCCACAAGGTATAGATAGTCAATCCTAAAAGAAATCAACCCTGACTGTTCCCTGGAAGGCCAGATAATGAAACTGAAGCTCAAATACTTTGGCCACCAAATGAGAAGGGAGCACTCACTGGAGAAGACCCTGATGCTGGGAAAGATTGAAGGTCAAAGAAGACAGGGACGGCAAAGGATGAGATGGTTAGACAGTGTCATCGATGCAACAAACATGAAGTTGAGCCAACTTCAGAGGACGGTGGAAGACAGGAGGGCCTGGCGGGAGCTAGTCCATGGGGTCGCGAAGAGTCAGACTCGACTGTGCGACTGAACAACAACAAAAATAGATAGGAACTCTCGGTCTGGGGCAAGTGATGCTCTGTATTCTTGGTGCTTGGGGTGGGGAGGCAACAGTGGGAGGGCTCCTAGTGTCCTGGCCCCACTGCTGGACTTCCTGATGGCCCCTGGTATTTTTGGCCACTGTGTGGCAGAGTGTTGGACTGGATGGGCCATTGGCCTGATCCAACACTGGCTTCTCTTATGGTCTTAAGATGGGCTGCCGTGCTGGAGGATCCCTGGCCCGAACTGGATCCGAATTCCCACCAGCCCTCGCCAGCCTCCTAACAAATCCCTCCCTGTCCTCATGGTGGCCGGCTCGGCCTTTCCACAAGGAGCGAGAGCTCCTCGAACACGAGCAGGCCAAAGTGCCAAAACTCCACTTCTGATGCAACGAGCCAGGGCTGCTTGCAAAGCCCTTCTTCGGACGGCACGAAGGACGAGCCGCATGAGGGCTCTCCAAGAACTGGCCTTCAGCTGTAACACATCTGGAAATAAATGAATCTGGCAGCGGAGCCTGGCGAGCTGGGGGAAGGGGGAGGAGGGACGGCTTCACTGGGTCCCATTTCAAAAGACAAAACGGGCAGTGAGCCAATCTCTCCCCCCCTTTCCTTCTAATTGGCTAAAATGCAGTGGCGGAGCCAAGAGAAGGGATGTGGGATCGGGCGTCTGTCACAATGGAAGAAGAATGTGTGGCCGGGTTTCCAGCGGGGAGAAGGAAGAAAACAGAAAGCGGGGCCAGCTATGGATTTAAAGGCAGGCGGAGCCAAGGTCCAGACTTCATAGAGAAAGGCGGAGCCTGACTGGAAAGGGGAGGGGCCAGGGGATAATTTTTGTAGATCCAAGGCATTGTGGATGAATAAAAAGACCACATGGAAGGACTAGAGTATTTAAGAAGGTGTTTCAGGAAAGGCTGCTCCAGTTCTACAGACTGTAAACAGTGACCAGGAAACGGATCCATGGCAGAGACCATATGCAGAAACATAACCACCCTGCAGTACACGTACACACGACAGATTTCTTGAATACGCGGAGGAGACCCAAGCTATGCACACATACGTAACAGCACAGAAACCTCTGAAACCCATTGCCAGGAGGCAAAAATGAGGGAGGGCCTTGGCCTCTATGGGGCTGCGGTGGCTCAAGTGGTTAAGACACTGAACTGCAGGCTGTGGAAGGTCAGTAGTTCAGCAGTTCGAGACCCAGGTGCCGCATGATGGAGTGAGCTCCCGTCTCTAGTTCCAGCTCCTGCCAACCTAGCAGTTCGAAAGCAAGAAATTGCAAATAGATAAATAGGTACCACTTCGGTGGGAAGGTAACAGCGTTCCGTGCGCCTTGGTGTTTAGTCATGCCGGCCACATGACCACGGAAATGTCTTTGGACAGCGCTGGCTCTTCAGCTTTGAAACGGAGATGAGCACCGCAACCCTAGAGTCGGA